TCTATCCAATGCATCTCGTGCACGACAGAAATGTCACACCGAGAGTTTCTAGACAGGTGCCGCGAGGTCAACGGGCACGGAAAGGATGCAAGATGCTCCATTGGTATATGGAAAGATAACGACAGTGAGAAGGGGAAGGCTGAATGCGATCCATGCCGCATCAAACGAGAGGAGAAAGAACGACAGTTAAAGCTTGTCATAAGATAAAAATGCATGGTCATCAGGATGAGCTGTCGGTACACCCTTTTTAGATGGCAAATTCCGACGTTGCGTCCTTTATCACTGCTACTGCCATCTTCTACATATTACCCCGTATCTAGTAACCCTATCTAGATAAAAGGTCACATTTGGTTCACTATCTATCTTCTCTCGGCCGGATTAAGCTCTTAGCCACAGGTCTTAGCGGCAAATAACACTTCTAGCTTATAACTTAGATATTATGCCAAAATATCTAATTAATTGCTATAATATAAGGCTAATAAGAGGAAAACCTAAATAATAACTTTTTAGCTAGCCTTAAAGGTATATAAGAAGGTACCTTTAATCCTCTAGCTAAAGAAGATTAGCTTAATACTATAAATACCTCTTTTTAATCTTTAAGATAATAGCTTTTATATTAATAAGATTAATTTTTAGTTAATAAGATCTTAACTAAATATATATCTAAAACTATATTAATAGAACTATTATAATACCTTAAGTAATAGTAGCCTATAATATAACCCCCCTTAAAGACCTTAATCTATACTTTAATAAAATTTAAGATATAATTTACTTATAGGACTTCTATAAGCTTAATAGTAAATTCCTTATTAAGCTTACTTTATTTAATTATATAACTATTACTTCTATAGTAATTAGTAATAAATCCCTTAAAGAGGTTATTAAAGTTACCTAATAAAAAAGAAAGGTATTAAAAAAGCTAAAAAAAATTAAAGAAATTTAATATAATTATATAGCTAGTCTAGAGAAATAAGGCTTAAATTATATTTATATTTAAAGTATAAATAGTAATTTACTAAAATAGACTTTTAGATATAATATATAGCTATTAGATTTATTAAGAAATACTAATATATAAGAAAAGCTTAATTAAATTAGAGAAGGTTTTATAATAATATATATATTGGTATTACTAGGAATAAGGTTAGATTAGGTAAAGGTTTAGGGAAATCAGAAGGTTATAGCAGTATTAAGTTTATAAGTTAGTTATAAGGTTAGAAAATATACTTTAGGTTTAATATAATGACATTTGGTTTATAAATCTTACTGGCAGTAAAGAAGAGAGCTCATCTATGTGAAACACACTGTGCTTGTCGATGGCAATATATTGAATCACTGGGTACTCAAGGCTATAAAATCCAATTCGCAGCACGGAAAATGAATATATTCCTCCACAGTCAGACAGAAACAATCCTCCTATATCTAAAAATCGAGCATTTAGAGCCCCCAGCTCAGACATCCACCCGTAGAAAATCTACACCGATTAGAAAAGCATGTGTTACCGGCTTCGCACGTCTGTCCAACGTATAACATGTACATGGGAATGCTCAGTCAGAAACAGTCTGACCAGATGCGATGAGGCCAACTCGACGGGAGACTTCGCAAATTGTTCAATTGGCATAATAGACTCTTTCGATTTTGTCAAGGGTACCGATGAATGCTCGGGATGTCGGACTGCGCGTGAGGAAAAGGAGCTTATTGAGAAGCTAAATGAGAAAGTGGTATGGGTCGTACGGTGAGGTACATCTAGTATATGGTCACTATCGATAACCAGTCTTGTATTTTGATGGAAATGATCCCTTAATCTAGCGAGCCTCTAGAAGGCATAAATGTGCAGTTAGAAACAGCCTAACCAGATGCTATCAGGCTGAGGTTCCACATACCTACAATGGAGACTTGGAGAGGGCACTGCAGATAAAGCCATAGTGGAATTGACCAGTTTTAGCACCATCTAGGAAACACATAGAAATAAGGAGTGGCCAAAACAATACCTCGGAAAGTTGATACGGCTCTAGCTGGCAGAAGCTACTAGCCAGCAGAGTGATAAAATATTTCAGCAAGTACTCTTCAATATACCAACTGGCAAAGCTTGATGCTAGAGATAGACCAAGATGCCGTTGAATAAGCGGCCAAAACCTCATGCCAAACTTTAGAATCCGTAGGATCTACCACTTAACTATAGCTCTAGGCGCTAGATGCGTCTGAGTGACGTAGGGCCATTTTATGAAAGTCAATGCCAACTCCCGTCTTTCACAGAAGCGTCACAAAACAATCACTTATGAGTTTACAAACACTGGCATCATGCTAGAGGACATGGTTATCCGCGACCCTTGCTCTGGATTGTTTCACCAATACAATCCAATTGAAGACCTCAAGTGCATGGATTTAATACCACTAGCAAGTTTCTTAATAATATTATAGCAAGATCTAACCCGCTGTTCTCCTAGAGCAACCGCATAACGAACTCTCCGACGAGACAAGCCAGCACTAACTACACTGTATTATGATTATTCTCTAATCAATAAGTAACACTAAACACTTTCCAGAAAGTCTGGTTCTTCTGCCAGCCCAGCTTCTCCTTTCGGCCACTAGCTAGATATTCCCCTGACGTCTGGTCCTTGAAAGAGTGACCGTTGCTTGGCTTGAAGTCCACAACAAACAGAGTAGCAGAGCCAGAATCTTTGCAAAGCTTAAGATTCTCGCAGATATACTGGCCGTTGTTGGCAGAGCTAATGGTGAACTGGTCACCACCCACTTCCACAGCATGAAGAACCCATCCATGCTGGATGTTGTCGTGGTTCTTTGATGCCTTGCTCAGTGACACCTTGCTGCTGTACGATGTGGCGCTCACGGCCTGACCAGAAGACTCAATGACAAGTGTGCGACCTTCAGTGAGAAGTCCTCGGACAGGTTTGAAACCAGCCTCAGCAAGGCTTGCGGTGTCATTGTTGACACCGACACCAGTGTAGGGAACAGGAGGTCGCCCGTTACCGTACTGAGAATAACAGTATGATGACCCATCATATACACCCTTACTGTTGGTATGAGGCTGAGGAGCCTCAGGAAGATTGGGGATGCTATAGTCAGGGTTCTTAAAGTCGAAGGCGTTGACGAGATCAGCCATGTTCTCGCGGCGCCAGGGAACCATCTCATCAGTGGTGACATCACGACCCTTTGCAGCCTGCCACTTCTCAATAAAGGACACCTGAGAGGTGTGATCGGCGTGTTCAGTATAAACACCGCCCTTGCGGGTGAAAGGTGAAATGATGTAGAATGGAACGCGGAAGCCTGGGCCGGTGGCAGTGCGGCCGGCTGCACCATAAGGATCATCAATCCATTCACCCGCGGTACCATCAGGAGAAGTGTAAGGGCTAACGTGATCAGCCCAGCCTCCCGTCTCGTCATATGAGATGATCAGAACAGACTTGGAGTACTTGGAGGAGTTGATAACAGCCTCAGCAACCTTTCGCTGCAGCCAAGATCCATCATGAGGGGAGTAAGGAGGATGTTCAGAGAGCTGCATGGGACCGACGATGTAAGAGACCTCAGGCAGAGTTCCAGCGGCAGCCTGAGCATAGAAGGCGTCCAAAGACTGTCCCTTCATGCCCTTCTTGTTCAAGTCAGATCCTGTCTTGGAATCTTGGAATTGTTCAAACCAAGCATACGGGTTGTCGTCAAAATTGTCAGCATCCTGGAAGACACTCCATGAGACACCAGCAGCCTCATACTTCTCAGCAGCAGTAGACCACTTGAGAGGGTAACAGTTGATACCGTTCTTATCACAGCCAGGTGTCTCATTGTTGTCGATGTAGGGGTATCCACCCTCATCCTTGGTCTGAGGTGAGCCAGGGACGTTGATGGATCCACTGATCCACATGACACGGTTGGGGTTGGTAGAAGCGATGACTGACTCTTGGTACATATCGCCGACAGTCCACTCTTCAGCAAGAGCAAAGTGAACAGGAAGATCATCGCGCTTGTAGTAGCCAATACTGTAGGGAGTGTTCTTAACTGCCCACTGGTTGTTGGCACCATGGTTCCATGCAGCTTGGTTGGCATCCCAGCCGTTGGACCCAGCACTCATGCACTGAGTAGCCTCAGGCCAGGTTCCACCGAGGTAGTTGATGTACCAAGGTGTGATGTAATCAGTGTCTTTGCTCTGTTGAGGGGTGACTTGCTGTTTCCAGACTGGGATGCCGTTGTTGTACTGGACGTTTGGATCAGCAAAGCCACGAACTCCAGGCATAGTACCGAAGTAGTGATCAAAGGCACGGTTTTCTATAGTTGATTAGAAAGCTGATACGATAAGCTGGATAAGGGACGTTACCTTGCATAAACAAGATCACATGGTCGATATCAGCCAGGCTCTCAGTCCTGGCTGTTTTTGAAGCCGCCAAAAGGGCTGTGAGGGCCCAACGAAGTCTCGGGGAGAAAATCATGTCTGATAACCAAGGCCAATCCTTAACCAGCTGGTAAAACCAGAGGAGCCAAGACTCAAGACACTGCCACATCTTGGCAACTTATACGTCCCTCGCTGCTATCGGAAATAATCGTACGAAAAAGCAGGATCGAAAAGAAAACCCTCGTCGACGGTGGAGTAGCGTAGCACTGCAAGATCTGGCTCCAGAAGCGATGATCACAAGATTTTCTCAACTCACACGTTTCAAATCATATCCATCTGATTAGCAAGAACAAGATGATCATGCATCGGATGTAAATTGCAACGTTGAATATCTTTCCCGAGTTGGGAGGTCTTGTTTTAATACTAACTAATTCGCTGACCGATGGTGCTGTTGGGTGGCGAGCCAATCAGCGTGCGGGGATTGATCTCGTGGGGGATCTTTGTGAGATTTGGGATCACAAGCGCTCGGGACTTTTCTTATCGGGATGCGGATGTACGGCACGGAAATGGGACTTGGAACTGTCTCGCTTCCATCACAAAAGAGCTTTCGATTATGCGCTTTGGAGAGTTTGGGTTGAGGTGCATGCAAATCAAAATGGTCGCTCACGATGAAGAAGCCGATGCTTTGCTTGAGGAGTTTGAACTAAGAGAGGAGGTCAAGGTGCGAGATGCTCGAACCCCGCCTTCAGTATGTTGCACGTGCGGTTGGAGATGGATAGCAGCTCTTATCGTGGTTGCACTACTATCGGCAATCGGGGTCGTAGTGGCATTGTATGGTCCGTCAAGCAGCCCACCAGGTAATGATACTACCGGCCATCTTGGGTACCGACTCCATCCTGAGGATCACGCAAAACGTCCCCCAACAACGCAATATTTCAACTGGACTATCGCAGCCGGAACCAAATCACCAGATGGAGTTGAGAAGCGGGTGTACCTCGTTAACAGTAAGGCCCTCGTCAAACATGATGCATACCATTACTGACTTTCGCAGATGAGTTTCCAGGACCCCTCATCGAGGCCCGGTCTGGTGACCGAATTGTGATTCATGTTCGCAATGGACTTCAAGATGAGGGCCTGTCTCTTCATTGGCATGGCCTGCGCATGAGATACCAGAACAGTATGGATGGCGCTGTTGGGTTTACACAATGTCCTATCACTCCCGGCACAAGTTTCACTTACAACTTCACCATCGGCGCAGAGGAACAAGGCACTTTTTGGTGGCATTCCCACTCTGATGTTCAACGCGCCGATGGGCTATGGGGAGGTCTCGTTGTTCATTCTCCAGATGAGGTTGATGTTCCACCAGAAGATTACCTGCTCATGATCGGTGATTGGTTTCACCGAAATCAAACGGAAGTGCTAGGGTGGTATGCCGATGCGAGTAGTCGAGGGAATGAACCTGTCCCAGATTCGTTACTGGTCAATGGTCGGGGACGCTTCAACTGCTCCATGGCTGTTCCTGCGAGACCAGTTGTTTGCTCTCAGGTCCATCTTAGCGACCTCAAACCCCTTATCATGTCTGGGAGTCTGAAGAAGGTCAGAATTAGAGTAGTCAACACAGGCTCCGTCGCAGGCCTTTCCTTGAGGGTCGGTGGAGCCATAATTCGGCCAGTTCGCGTGGACGGAGGCTTCGCTGTCAAAACTGAAGCCACCGAAACGGTCGGTGTTCTCTATCCTGGTGAAAGAGTTGACCTCGAGGTTGAGTGGAAGGAGAACTATGCCGGAGACCGTTGGCTTACCGTTTATATGGACGATGAGTGCGTATCCATTTATTACAATTCCAATCGAGATCAGGACTAACAAGCTAGACAGGAACTTTGGCTATCCTAACCCAGCACTACACCCAACCCAAAGCTTCCCGATGTTCAGCTCAAGCGCAAAGGGATCATTCGATGAAGCCGTTCCTCAGCCTTTGAAACAAGATGAGATCCAGGTCCTTGACTCGCAGAATCTCAAAGCCGTTATCAAAGTATCGGATCTCCCAGCAAAGGCAGAACAGACTATTCTTCTTTACGCTAAAGTCGAGAAGCTGGCACACATGGACTATGCACCAGTCGGATTCATCAACCATACATCCTGGACGCCACAAACTCCACCTCTACTGGCTCAAAACCGAACTTCATGGGATGAAAACCAACTAGTCCCATTTATCGGAATATCGGACAGTAAACCAAAGAGAGTCGACGTGGTCATCAACAACCTGGACGACGGTGCACATCCGTTTCATCTTCATGGCCATTCGTTCTACGTTCTATCATCATACAGAAATCCAGGCCGCGGGAGCTGGGGCAGTTACAATCCGTACACAGGCGAGGCACCTCCGAACGGCTTGGATCTTGAGTTTCCGGTGCGCAAAGATACTGTTAGTGTACCACGGCGGGGTCATGTCGTGTTGGCGTTGGTGGCTGATAACCCGGGAATATGGGCGTTGCATTGCCATATGCTTGTTCACATGGCGCGGGGTATGGCGATGGGGTTACATGTTGGTGATATTGACGATTCAGAGCATGTTGCGGCGGAGTTGTGTACATAATCAGTTGATTTTAGTGATAATCGTACGAGCTGTCAATATTTTACTCGTGACGGAAGATATCTTTTCCAGGTGCTGCGTGGCCTGTTCAATGGCTAGTTATTAGCCTGATCTGGCTGCTGTCCGAAGCCAAGAACCCCACTGCCGCAAGCTCCCAGTCTTCAATTCCTGGAACAAGCACAATATGAATCGCATTCCCAGCCAGGTATTGTGTTGTCCTTGGAACACTTTTCAGTAAAGAGGATCAGTGTCGATCATGACTTGCGTAGAATTGCCATTCATCGTTTTTATAGCCATTTTTCTGCGGCTTTCATCCTTCAGTGCCACGAGTCTAGACCCAAGGGATGTTCCCATTTAGGAAGCTCTCAGAACTTGCCAGGCCAATCGTGAGAGTTACGCGTCCATGGGTATTCCCGGGGTGGTATTTAGTCCGTACTACCCTGCCAGACGAATCAGTCCCTCGATTCCCTATCTTTAATCCCTCATATTCTTCTTGTTCCTTTTACCGCTTTCATTACTGTGTAGCACTCTAACTGTAGATCTGTCTACTTTTATCTCCTTTGTGGACGGAACAATGTCTGACACGGCGGAGCCAACGCGCCGGGCCTCAGCTGACGCTGCTGCACGTACCAAGTCAAAATCACGATCTCCACGCGCCAGCAAATCCCGCTCCCCTACCGCTAGCAAGTCACCCTCTCCACCCGCTGCCACGCCGGGTCCTATTCTTGACCCGCAACATTGGGCACAGGTCAATGAGGTGTGTGAAGGAACCTAACTAGATGTGATTGGGATGCTTATTGGATAATACAGGAACAAGCACAAGCTGAGGCTGAGGGTGCGGATGATGACAATTCCGATGCTGACTCAACCCTCGACCCGGATAACGCCTCATCCACTGCTTCCATCACCTCTAGCATCCTCGAATACAGGACCATCCATGGTCGTACTTACCACAGCGAGCAGGGCAATGCTCAGTATTGGTACACTGACATTACCTCGATTGAAAATCTGCACGTTTCTGACAATTTTGAAGGGCCTCCAATGACGAGCAGCAAAATGATTTGATGGACCTCACGTAAGTTCACAGTACAGCCTGATCCCTAAATATCTAACCTGTCGTCAGTCACCATATCCTCACCCTTGGCCTTGGAGATAAACTTCACCTGGCTCCCCTAAAGGAAGAGAAGCTTCATGTACGTTGCTCACGTGCTGCCTCTCCTATCCAATAGGTACTCACCCTTCTACAGCAAGCTATCGACATCGGAACCGGTACTGGTATCTGGGCTATGTAAGTAGCGCCCGCCCTTCAATTCCCTGCATTATCTAACGGATATTTAGTGATTTTGCCGACCAATACCCTGGCGCTGAGATCATCGGGACCGACCTCTCCCCGATTCAGCCCTCATGGGTTCCTCCCAACGTCAAATTGTTGGTGCCATCTGCCTTTCCCATACTTCCGCTAACCAAAGTCCAGTGAGATCGAAGATTGCACTCGCGATTGGACCTTCAAGTCCGATTTTGCCGATTACATCCACGTGAGATGGCTGATGGGCAGTGTCCGAGACTGGGACGCCTTCTTCTCCGAAGCCTACAGAGTCTGCAAACCCGGCGCCTGGATTGAAAGCCACGAAGCTTCCTGCAACGTAAGCAGCGATGATGGCACTGTCGCTCCTAACTCTGCTATGGGTCACTGGGGTGAATTCTTCAAGGAGGGCGGTAAGAAGATTGGTACGAGCTTCAGTGTCGTTGAGGACGGTACTCAGCGCAAGGCTATGGAACAGGCCGGTTTTATCAACATCCAAGAATTCGACTTTAGAGTGAGTAATCCCTCTACACTTTTGAGATGGAATGCTAATGGATGCGACAGAATCCTGTCGGAACTTGGCCTACTGACCCTGTTGAGAAGCGCATGGGTGCTTACTCCAAGTATGGTCTTGAGACAGACAGCGAAGGCTTCATTCTGTTTATGGCACATACACTTGGATGGACGAGAGAAGAGATCCTTGTTTACGTTGCCCAGTTCCGAAGAGAGATTCGCTCCGGAAAGCATCACGGATATTTTGCTCAGAAGGTTGTTTGGGGCCAGAAGCCCGAGAGTACAGTTGCCTAGATGGCGTGGATTCCGAGCCCATTCACAATGCCTGAAAGGCAATGATGACTATCAAAATGACGATCCTATACATAACAGACATCCAATCTTGAGTTGCCGTCGTTATGTGTGGTTTCCTGCACGTACGTCTCAGTTCTAACGCGACTCAGTTGGCCAATGCGGTTTATCATGGATCATGGCTACCTACCCTAAAGAGGTCGGTTTGGCGTGGCATCACATGTCTACTGTAGCTGTAGGGCAATGTTGTCCTTGAATCTTCGGAAAAGATTAATATTTGCCAAGTGTAAAGTAGAAGGCTAGAACCGTGACCTAGACATCGCTGCCAGGTTGAGGGTTAGGCGGGCTAATCGGCTTGACATTCTTGAACGGATCATCACCCGTGCTTTAATCCTCGAATACCCTGACTACAGGCTCCATTCAGGAAAGATCTCCGCATGTTCATCCGCACCTCTCACCATCAAATTCTCGCTACCAAATGCTCCGAATTCCAAGATTTCCTATTCTAGCGCCTCCAATGCCGAGGGACCCTCACGCTACTCAGACTCGTGATAGCCACCCCGCATCTCTAACCAGGAATTTGCGGGGTCGGGGATACCGGAGCCGAAGCGCACAGGGTCACATCGACGCTGGATGTCTATCATGCGGGGGAGACAAGCATCTGAATAGCGTCAAGATCGACAGCCTGTTTCCCTGGATTGGGGGAATATCTGTCTTCCCCAGCTTTTCGGTGGTTGGAACCCCTGTCGCTCATGCCATTAGTTCAGGAGGACATACGTCAGGTGTTGCTGCGCGTCTAATTCGAGATGAAAATTGCCAAGAAGCTCGGTCCGCTCCGGAACGTCGGTGTTTTTGAGTTTAACTTGGTGTCGTATTGGAAAAGTATAAGGTCTCGGAGATCCTCATGCAAGTTCATTCCTTCGAATCAGGATCAAATCCCCAGCCTCGTCGTCTTTCTCCACCATGAAGCTATTCGTTAGCCCTCTCCTGGCACTCAGCTGCCTCATTGGCAATGCTGTAGCAGCATGGCCTAATGGACCTTTCAAAACAGAGGGTCGTTGGATCGTCAACGCTAATGGTGACAAGATCAGCCTCGCTGGTGCCAACTGGCCCGGCCACGGTGAAGTCATGGTCCCTGAAGGTCTGCAGTACCAATCTATCAAGGGTGTTCTCTCCGATATTAAGAGCATTGGCATGAACGCTATTCGTCTCACCTTCGCCACAGAGCTTGTTGATCAGATCTATGCCAACAATGGTAAAGATGTTGATCTCAAGACAGCCTTTGAGGAAGGCCTTGGAAAGGAGAATGGTACCATTATTCTCCAGAAGGTGTTGAAGAACAACCCTTCTTTCACCGCTCAGACAACACGTCTTGAGGTAAGTTTAATTAACACTCTACGAATAGACGTAATACTTATTAGCTTTTAGGTCTACGACGCCATTGCTGCTGAGTGTCTCCGTCAACAGATCTACATTGACCTTGACAACCATATCTCCGAGGCTAAGTGGTGCTGCGGCGGTACAGATGGCAACACCTGGTGGGGAGATACCCAGTTCAATGTTGACAACTGGGTTCGAGGTGGAAAATACATGGCTGCTCACGTATGTTCCTTCGCTACTTCCTGTACCTGATATTCTAAGACTGACTATAAACAGAGCAAGAAGTGGCCTGCCAAGATCACACAGTCACTGCGCAACGAGCCCCGTGAGCCTACAAACAACAACGCTCTCCGTGACAAGTCATACAACTGGAGCGACCTCTACAAGTACATGCGCCAAGGTGCTGACGCAGTCCACGAGGCTGATCCAAATGCAATCATTGTCATTTCCGGCATGAACTATGACACCTATGTTACTCCTCTCTACTCCGGTGAGAAGCTCCAGCCAGGAGGTGAGGTCTTCAACCGAGATGACTTTGTCGGCTACGGCAAGGATAAACTCGTTCTTGAGATTCACAACTACGAGAACAGCGGAACCAGCTGCTCTTCTCTTCGCTACAACCTCTACAACAAGGGCTTCCAGGCTATGAACGAGAGCGATCCCAATGTCGCTGAGGTCTTTCCTGTCATGCTGACTGAGTTTGGCCAAGCTATGAATGGCGCTGACTACAATACTGCCAATACATATGTGAGCTGCTTGTCGCAGTATTTGCCTGAGGTCAAGGCTAGTTGGTTCATCTGGGTTATTGTTGGCCGGTATTATACTCGTCAGGGCATCCAGGAGTTTGATGATTCTTGGGGTTTGAAGAAGGCTGATTGGTCGGGCTGGAAGAACGATGACTACATTGCGAAGTATCTTAAGCCCCAGATCGCAGGCACGCTGAAGAAGTAGGAGAAGCTAGACTTTAATACAACAGAAACAAACAGGGTTTGACCCTAGCACACCACATGAAGTGATAGGACTTGAAGAGCGTAGAACCAAGGCATATCATAGTGTTATGTCCTTAGGCATCCCTGAAAAACGGTAAAAGAATCTCAAGAGACACATCTCTTAACAGCTTTGGGCTGGCAGGTCTCGATGAATTCCCTTGGTTTCAGTGCAGCAGAATATCACATATTCTTCTATCTTCAATGGAAAGACTACAGATTCCCGTTGCGGTCGGATTACTGTCCGTGCAATGGGTAATATCCTTGTCTCATCTATCCTAACTTCCCAAAGCATAGAGATACCCAGGTTGTGGACTTACGGTGTGTCTGTCATTAGTTGTGAAATATTGCACTCTTATGCTGCCAAGTACTTTGCCTCGCTAAGGAAGTGCCAATATGAGAAGACAACGGTAAAGTGTTAGAGTCCATCTTGCTCACGAGTTTCTTCAACCCACTTCCACAATCTACGATCAGCAAGAAATGTTGGATTGATTTCAGACATCAGCGTTAACTTAATCGCCACAGAAATGGAATCCGTGTTCACAGTTCTCTTGGGGGGGAAGCAAGCTCGCTCCCTTTCCTGTAGCTCTTCGGCCGAGAGATCATCCCCCTGAAGTTTAGCCAGAAGCCTCACGTTTTAATCCCGACCAGCGCGCTCCCAGAAGAGTCCCAAAATCCTCTCTTTTCCATGCGCAAAGGTGTCCTTGTTGTATATGAGTTCAAACAGCCTTTCGAAAAGCTGATAGTCATTTTTGGAAAGTAAGCGTGTTAGCCGAGTGAAATGCCACATTATCTCTGACCTCTTCCAGAGAACCGCATCAGGTAGTGATTGTGTCCTTTTGTTAGCTTCCTGGATGAAACCTGACCGGTAGGCAGTAGTAAGGTATGCTGATGGCGGGGCAGCTGAGCTACCGAGTGATGGAGCCGCGAGGATCTCAGATGCTGGGCCAGTTGACGCTGAACTCCAGTCGATGATAGACGTGATGTTGAAGTTTTCATCAACGTAGATATTACCAAGATGAAGATCTGGATGGGAGATCGTGAAGCTACTTGCTCTATCTGAAGTGAGGTCATTTATCATTTCAGATAGAAGCTGCCCTGCAATGCAATAAAAGAGGATATTTTTACTGTGCTCAATCTTTTGGCCAATTGCCACAAAGTCATTCCACCGCCTTGAAGCTTTCTGATAACTTGATAAGCTGTCGTAATCCACCATGTCAGGAACCGGCGCGAAAAAGACATGAGGCGTAAGCGAAAGCTCTTTAGCGTGGGAGGTGAATGCTGAGATGAGGGAAACAAGATAGTCGTGTTCATTGTTGAATGGACCGCGATCCAGCTCAAGTGAGTCTCTCTCTTGCCACGTAAGAGACGGCGAGAGACATTCACCAACAACATAGCTCGCATCTGCATCTCGGAATAAAGAACCAATCCTATCAAATCGGTGCGTGGAAAGTTCTGACATGAAGGCACCAAGTTGTCTCATTACTTTCCCTCGGCTCTCATCGGAGATGGGCATCGGCGGGCTACGATGCTGGAGCCCTGGGACTTGATACCGTGGCGGGCTCCAGGCATACGATCCTAGAGAACGGCCGAGGGCTTTGCTCTGGAGAATATATGGAATACCGATGTCATTGTCGCTGGATCCGCTAGAAAAGATTAATAACAAGACCATAAGGATAAGAAACACCGCTAACCTGTAGGAGAAAACCTGGGGAACCGGAACCGAGGTGTTTGCCTTGAGATACAGCAAGGTAGATGCTTCGCTGACGAGAATTTTTGAGGCGGTGTCATCGGAGTAGAAGCTATCAAAGTCACTCTTAGGAGAGCGGAAGACCCATTCAACCCCATCTTGGAAGCATAAAAAAATGACCCAGTTCAAGCTTCCGCATTTTGGCATCTGGGTTATGTCACAGGTGCATGGCTGGCCGCGACGCTGTTCCGCGAGGGAAAGGAGCGCTGGGAGGTTGAATTTGGCGAAATAATAGATCTTGTCACCCATGGCTTGAGACAGTCTTAATGATCCAATATCAAAGGAATGATTGACGAAGTAGGCAGCGAATGCACAGAGACAATGGAGTTGGGTGGCGCGTGGGCTAGAATCAGCCTAGGTTCCACTGCGGACGAAGGCTCGACTCAGGCCTCCAGGTGCAGCCTAACGGCCCCCTGCAGAAAGGAACCCCGACGCACAATCAAATGTCCCGTGTGTGGTAACGTAGGAAGAGCCAAGCGACTGGGCGCTTCGCTGAGCCTTGTGACTAGGCATGTCACCCAAAGAGGATGACGTGAATGTATAAACAACCTGAACTTAGCGAGGGATGGCATGATCCCTACCAAAGTTGCTGGGACTTGCTCACCTGAGACCAATCCTGATATGCTCGACTTAAAACAAGTATGATCGCCACTCAAGGCAGAGAAGTTCAATATCTCCGACTGCTACGAGTTCCCAAGGTCATCCAGGTCACTGCGAGTATGGGAGAGATATCAGATGACGGAACTTCATTCGTGGCTTATGCGGTCATAAAAGATGGGAATGGAAAGGAATATGCAAAGGCAAAGGCGCGTTGGGCAGTGTTCCCGTTGAAGGGGAAATTATGATCAAGAAACAGCAGGTACATAGTCACTCTAGCTCCGGTACTTTCGCCCTCGCAAAATCTAGTGACCGCTCCAGCATCTCTATGTCTCCATCAGAAGCGCCCACCGCTCGAAGTGATGTAAATGCTCTTGTGAACGATAAAGGCGCATTCTCGCCCATGGACCACATGAATACTGAGGTGTCCACTCTTCTAATCCAGGAACTGATTTGTAGTCTCCATTGACTATTCTGACTGATCAATCTTTTCAGAACCCTCGCACCCTCAGGACCCAGAAAGGCGGCTTCGAGGGCCTCGGGCATAAATCCATCACCGTGAAGAGCGGCCTCGGTGTCTTTGAGCATACTGTAGTGCCCGGGCACGATGTCCCTCATGCTATCCATCTCGATAAATATCTCTAGAGGAATAGTGGTATTTTTCAGCAGCCCTTTGTGGTACATGACAGCTAAGGTCCTGAGCCATTGAATTCGGAGGCTCATGTGGGCAATATCCGACGGGAAACCCTCTGGAAACCATAGGCGTTCATGAGGCTTTGTTGGAATGTGAACTGGAGGGAACTCATTGTCAAAGGTATCTAGTATTGAGAAAGGTGGTAGGTTCAAGAACAAAGAGAGGCTTTTTCGCAAGATATTTAAGGCCCAATGAACATTGTCGAATTGAATGTGTGCTAACAATCGACGTTGTTCAATTAGCTGTCGAACCTTGTCGGTATCCCAGAATGAATCTGGGAGTAACCAGGTACCTAATCCATCGCACCGATTCATACTATCCCATGTCGGACAATAATTGTCATAGTTTTTCATCATTGCGGAATTTTCGTCTGTATCCGACAGCGAAAAGCTGTCTGACGCCGATTGAAATCTTCTGTTCATTTCTCCAATAACCACGAAACTGCTCGGAATGGTGAGTCTCAAGCATATAGCCTGATCCTTCACCCGACCTTTTAAATCTATTTCGAATGGCGGTATGCCAGGACTCATCAAAGCGCTAAAGCGACTTCTTGGGTCATAGGAACGTGCGCCGCCGGGTGCATTGTCCAATCTGAATCGGGACCGGACATACTGGCTAAGGCGGTAGGATTCTTCAACATTGGTTTTTGTCCAAACTCCATTTTCGACAACAGGAGGCCCGAAGTAAAACTGCCACTGTGCCCAGTCAGATGTTTGAACGATAGGTAACTGGCATGGCTGTGATATATGCGTATATGCTTCATGTCCGGCCGCAGTTCCCGGAAGGAATGAATCGATGATCGAAGGCGAATCGCCAGTCATAACTGAGTGGAAATAAGGATGCGATTCACGAGGTCCTATTTTCCATATGAAATGCAATGCAAGTCCCCAGTATCGCAACTCAATCGCTCGATCCACGGTTTCAGTAGTTGCCTGTGCCCCAGACTTGACGAGTCTCCATATGAGTCTCACTCGGTCTGGAGATGGACTGTGCAGGGCCATATCAAGGCAGCTTCTTCCAGATAGAGTCTTCGCATTGGGATTAGCCAGGCAATGTAATAAAGCCTCAACCACTTCGTAGTCGCCCGACGCACAAGCCATGACCAATAGAATATCTGCTTTTGGGCCGGTTTTTCTGCTTTGCAAAGAAAAGAGTCCCCGAAGGATCCGAGATACTTCTTTAGGACTGACGTAAGTGCAAAATAGTTTGAGGCTTCCGTAAAGCTCGTGTTCGGTCAAAGCATCAAAGTCAATACCAACGCCAAACAAGTAATACACCATGCGAACTTTGAGTTCATCTGGAGAGTTGAGTCTCAACGCTTGAGACATGGCACGACCATTAATGAAGGAATCTTTGGCCAAGCCGAATCCTATCAGGAGGCGCAGCATATCAACGCTACCAGATGCTACTGCCCACTCTATGAGCTTCGTGTTGCTTCTAAAGTGCTGAGCATCTTCGACGGTGAAACGATCAAGGAGAAAGGCGAATGCTTCAGCATCAAATGAACGTATAGCCTCCCAAGCATAATCAACAAAGCAGGTGTCAAAGGCCGAAAGCTGGCTCAACAGCCGAGTTTTAATCCGGGATTTTATACCCAGACGAATGAATAGGAGACACAACCACTTAACTAGATGGTAGTCTAGCTGATTCAAAGTGTTGTTTTGCGAGAGCTGCATCAAAAGAACCCAGAGCTTCACAAAAGCTTGGAGCTTTCGTAACCCACGACCTTTAGTAAGATCGTATTTAAGCAGAAGTATATGACCATTGGACACTGCCCAAAGGGTGATTTGACTTGGAAGAATCGGAAGCAAATTCGGGTTCAAGGATACAGTCCTATGGAATACGATATGGTGGAATTTCCCTGCAGCTTCATGGTAATCGTCAAAATCAATACCAAACTCGGGATGATCTAGAAGATGATACCAATTTGGCAGCGAAGGAAGACTCTCCAATTGTGATGTATGCCTTATCCAGTAATCTTTGGCATATGGGAGCAAGAAGAATTGGTGCGTATTGTTAACTTGGTAACCTGTGCTGACTTGAGCAAGTGTAGGGCCAATATCTCGTTTGAGCTTGGACTTTAGCCGGAAGAACTTATTTGCAACACTCTGGCCGGCTTGATGATTGCTCAGAGTGCTCAAAGCAACCGTCTCGGGCATCTTGTTCGCACTGATCTTGGGAGCGACATTCCTGGACAACCTGGTGTCGAAGATATTATAGCTGAGATACGTGACTAATGTCTCAGCCATAAAGAGGTTCGCGGCCTTCTCGGTAAAGGTCCATTCTGCTGCATTTCTGGGCGAGTTGAGGCAGAAACTTCGAGCACTATGGTGGATGAATGTAACTGAATCATCTTCCTCGTCGACCATAACGAGACTGCCACAGAACTGTAAGGCAGCATGGATGCTGCTGATATGCTGCTGTGGGTTCCATGCGGTTTGTCCTACTTTGACGCTAACAGCTTCACGTAGCTGTTCCGTTGTCAATGGCTCTCTAGCGCCCACCAGTAATGTGAAGATTCTAATATGATGGCCCTTTGAGTCACCTGAGCTCGCTTTCAGTAGGTTCCGTTCGTATGTTTGCGTGAGATCCCGTGGAAGGTCTCGGATTGCTTCCCGGATCGCTGTATCCGATATTTCGGAGCATATGGAATCAAGTTGCAGAGAAACCCACAGGAACCTTTAGAAAGCACAGTAAGTTAGAAAAGAAAGCGATTCCAGCCTTATGAGTACTTACATTCCGCATGCCCCATCAATGAGCTCCTGCTTGATGTCTTGAACAAGCAGGGGGTCGAGGGTGACCAGTCGTTCATTTCGTACTCTGTTGTCTACTTCAGCGTGCACGAAGTCGGATATATCTTGATTCTCCTCTGGGATAGACTCCTGAAATTCGAAACATTGATCTTTCCATACTGAGCTTTCGGTAGGAGTCCTGACTGATATGCAGATCTTGTAGCCCTTGGACTTGATGGCAGATAGGCTGCGCAGGACAACCTGTTGCTCCTCCATGGAGCATTCATCGAGCCCGTCAATTACGACGGACACATGCCTATCATGTGATGGCATGGTTGCCAAAATTTTGACAATGTCGTCTAAGTCTAGTCGAGATACAGACTCCGAAAATATGTGCTCGAATTTGCTGTCGTAGACGAAAACTTCTAAAAGCTGCCGAACCAGAGACCCAAATATGGTTCTTGAGCTCAGAGAGTCGGGGACGTCATGGCGGGCAAAGAAGTATAGCGTAATGGAGTTTTGAAGAAGGTTTAGATCATCGACAATATTAGCAAGAAGAACAGATTTACCAGCACCTAGTTTACCACGGAAAAGAATTGAGTCACCCGCAGTCTGAGCATTTTTCCATTTCTGATATTGGGTGTATGAGGGCAGAATGCGAGTTGTTCCACGCTTGCGAGTCTGTTTCCACGTGGTTCGATAATCGTGCTGTGAGCAGGCATCGAGAAAACGAATGCTTTCGTTGATCTTTTGACGGTGTTGAAGATATTTGGAGCGACTCGACACTATTGAGCGGAATGTCGCATTCTCTTTAGCTTCTTCTTGGATGCCCTGACTCAGCAACAGATCAGCCTCTTCTTTGATAGAGGCGGACCATGTGTCAAGGTCTGCTTGGAAGCCTTTCATATCAGGATCTCTGATGGATGACGAAAGGCGACCGACGGCAGACTTTTGTGCCCACTGAATGGTCTGATGGCAGATCTTGGTGACAACGATAAAGTATTCGCAAAGATAGCGCTGTAAGTTCTTGGACTTTGGATAAATGGCAGCCATGGCTTGATATCGAGGTGCGTTCCGGCCAACGGCCATAAATAGGACAGAGAGCTTTTCCAAATGAGTCAGGTATCCTGTGATTACCTAAAAAGGTCATTAATAAGGATCAGATAGAAGTGCCACTGCTTTTTCTCACATAAACAGTCATTCTCGCCACAGACCAGACTCCGCATGCGATGAGGTTCTGGGATCCGCCGACCACGATATCTCCTAGGGCTGCAAACTGCTGAATAGCCTGGAGCATGTTGGTTAATCGCGGCCCAAAACATCGTATTCGACCATGCTTGCTCGTTGCTTTGAGGTCCATCTCTGCTGTGAGGCGCATAACGTCTGACATTGTTGGTGCCGTGCTTGTCGCGGCCGTTCGCGAGGCTCTGAAGGCGACCTTTTGTTCAGTTGTGAGCTCGGCTTCGAATTCAGATACCGCCTGGGCCAGACGAATATCTGCTTTCAGCCCAGAGGCCTCTCGTATGGCTAGAGCCATTTTCAATCGCTTATCAATTCAATGGTGAGTATGGTGAAATGAATGAGGGGTTTCGATGTGCGGCTGACATTGCCTGCAGGTTGAAACAGAATCAGGCTGCGGATATCATAACATGGCGTAGGTTTTCTCATTGGCTGATATCGACGAATCAAAACAAGGAAACAAATCTCAGCAAACGGTCAATCGTACATCGATGTATTGTTTTAATTAGAGGGCATCTTCACCTAAGCCTTTGTTACACCATTCAGCGCTTGAACCACCAAAGATTTGGTATCCTCCGGGACATCTGCTTCCTTCAAAGTCGACAACCGATCCAGCCAGACCTTCCATCTGTCATTATTGAAGCCCCTCCATCCGGCCTCGTCCTTAAACTCGGCCAGGCTAGCACCCGGTTTGGCGACTTTGCCGTCGAACTGCTTTCCATCCTTGCTCGCCTTAGCAAGAGCATCGGCGGCGTAGATGAACCAAACAGAAGAGGCCTTCAACAGCTTGGTCGACGTCTCCGAGATCTTATCAGCGGCAGGGTCCTCAAGCGCTTCGCGTAAGGTCCAAATGGCGAAGAGGCTAAGGTCATCGACCCCAGCAGCAGTTGCGCGCGCAAAGAAGCCGTTGATATTGACAAAGGCTTCATCAGACTTTCCGTGTGCTTATCAGAGTCAGCAAGTGTTCATGATTGTCGGAGAGCGGAGCTTACCGATGTCGAGCTGCTCGCGTGCCTTGCCCCCAAACATGGGTAGCTCATCCCAGCGCTTCTCCTCACCCCAAACGACAACCTTCTTGGCTGTCTCTGCAGATTGCGGAATGCTCTTTATCGCATGCAAGGTTTCCACTAGCTTCCCTTGCTTGTCATGGGGGGTCTGCTCGGCAGCGGAGAGCACCGAAGACCAAAGGCTGTCAAACTCCCCCTCAATCTTTGCAGTGTCTTCATTCTTCGTGATAGCCTCTAGACAAGGGCTCGCAAGTTTTTCAGCAGCTTGTTGAGCTGACACAGAACTGTCGCTCAGTAATTTTGTAAGGTCGGTCATTTTCCGTGCGGAGATGTATGAGAGAGATGAGAAACGAAGGAGAGAGAGCATGAAATGAATGCAGGATGAAGGGATTGCGACAAGAAGCGGAATTACAAGATAGACGATTGGCGCTAACACGGCGTATCACATCCGATTTCCGAGGATGAACTACAAAAGGGCTCCAATGATTGCGATAAGAGCAACACATGGGCGCTGGCTGAGACAATTATATGCCGATCGCGACCCGCTCTCGGTGCGGGATTTTGATGTGACTGGCCAGCTACATCTGCCCATCTACCGGACCTACATCCGAATTAAGCAGGTGGTGATACTATCTCGAAACTAAGTCAATCATGCGGCCAATCGGACTCATGCGTTCATCCACCTGCCTCTCTCTCTGAAGATCTACATGTTTTGGGACACCGAGGTTTCGATGGACTGATATGTTTGGTGTTCCGAGTATAGACAGGACATAGACATGATCAACTATAAAATCTGTGAGAGGGCTCTATCAATGATGTAACTATTCCTACACGCTCTCATCCATCGTTGGTTGTTGTATAATCATTGACAAGATGCTCTTCTTCAAGGTACACCATACCTCCAAATAGACGCCCAAGCAAGAACAATGCTGATTCATTTCTTAGTCTATCGCTTCTCTTGCTGCTCTTGTCAGCCTGGCTGTCGCCAGCCCCATTGAGAGCCGTCAGTCCGCCACTACTTGTGGTAGCACAAACTACTCCGCCTCCCAAGTCCGCGCTGCTGCCAACGCTGCTTGCCAGTACTACCAGAACGACGACACTGCTGGCAGCTCTACCTACCCTCACACTTACAACAACTACGAGGGCTTTGACTTTCCTGTCGACGGTCCCTACCAAGAGTTCCCCATCAAGAGTGGTGGCGTTTACACGGGTGGTGAGTTCAGAAGCAGCGACAACTCAAGATCATTTCTGACGTGTTTCCAGGCTCTCCCGGTGCTGACCGTGTTGTCATCAACACCAACTGCGAGTATGCTGGTGCCATTACTCACACTGGTGCTTCCGGCAACAACTTTGTTGGATGCAGTGGTACCAACTAAGCTGCCATGCCATTCAATGCTGGCTTCTGAGCCATATGTTATGCGTATATAGTTATCATCTGTCTTGACGACATTAAAATACATACTATGACTTCCTCTGCGTCCTGCCATCAATATTTGGGCCTGCTATTTTGTGTCTACATGTCACCGAAAGCTGTTCAAAGGTCTTCATTCGGAAAGACCTTTCATACTTCATAAGAGAGTAGTTGGACTCGGAGCAAGAGAGAACGTAAAAGCAAATATCTGATAGTGCTGAGTACTCCTATAGTCCTTAGCAATACAAGACCCATTTATCCAGATTCATCTTTTTGATAACCTTACTGAAATCATCGGATCCTTCCGCCGCACCACTAGTAGAACAAATCTTCTTCTTGTCCTTAGCCTTCACATTTGGTGCACCCTTGGGGTACTCAATGTTAAAGACTGGCTTTCCGGCGTCGATGTAGGGCTGATACAGGTCGCACTCCGAATATTGGATGCAAGATTCGTTGATACAGAAGGCAACATATGGAAGAACCTCTTCTGCGACGTCTCCACCGTTCTTCATACCCATGACCATGTTGTACTTGGCTGCTTCTGCGGAGAGGAACTTGACATATGAGATGGTGTCTTCCTCAGTGAGGCCGAGACCGTTGTCGTTTTGCTACATTGGTGATTAGTGGACTTCTTTAATCGTTGCGTCGGTAACTTACGTATCCATCCATGTTATCAGGATCGATAGCATCACATCCCTTCTCAGCCGCCAGCTTGATTCGCTGCGCCATGATAGCTCTCACAGCAACACTGCTAATATTTACCCATCTCTCATCGGGCCAACCATCCATGACCTTACCGAGGTCTTTCTTTGGAAAGCTGTCTTTGTCTTTCCGCCAGTTCTCCCAGGAACCAGCACTGAAATAGCAGATGACTTTTTTGCCGCCTTTCTGCATAGCGGTTATCGTGCTCTTGGAGTTTTCGAAGAGATCCATATCCCAGATAGGCACATCTGGTGTCATAGAGCTAACACCTGCTTTGGGGACTTTGATGACCTCGGAGAGGATGATCTGCCATGGTGTGCCGACTTCTGGCTGCCATAGCTCTTTACGCTTGGGGGTTGTGAAACCACGAGGGGTAAAGGCTTTGGCTTGTGATAGCTCGGAGAGAGAGGCTGCGACGAGTGCCGCGAATTGGAAGAAAGAAGTCAGTTTCATTTCTTATCTTGCCGAGGGTATGCAGTGGTGATGGTAAGGTGAAGAGATACTATACTTTAGTCAATTCTCAGTTCATCTTCCAAGTTTATGTATGATCTAGGTTGCGCTTCCAGGGCGAATTTATGTACAATCAGACTTGCCACTCATAGCACTATTACAAAATTTGTTCCGTTACGTTACTCAAATGTGTTCCAGCCCATTCCAGCATAGAGGAACGGACTAGACTGGGCCGATTAGATACTCGAGATCCAGTTTTGGCTGTCTTCGATTAGTCTAGGAACTAGCAATCCCGCTAACGTCACTGATGTCAGTGATGGCCCTTTTCTCATATTTTACAAAGATAGCGGTGCAACATATAGAGAGATCTGTAAGCTAATATAGAGACAATTCCATGTTTAATTTTATCTTATTTTATGATACTTTCCTTTCATTTTACTGGTCATTTATGTCACTTTTTGAAACAATACGTAGTACATTGCACAGTCATATCGGGACGGGTCATGAGGCATGAGGAATGTGTCAAGCCGAGATCCAATCCCAATGCGGCCAAAAATTCCAGGCGTCATTCTCCAAGTGGTTTTGGGCTGCAACGATGCCTTCGGACATTTTAGTATGGTCGAATTTTGGAATACGGCTGTTAAAGGCCGAGACAGATCGGATCCAGCTAGAACTCAACCGCCATAAGATATCACTAGCCATTACGGATGGCGAATACTTGGACAGAAGCGATTTCAGATGAACACGATAATTCAGATTTTATTGCTTCCGTCTTAAGTAAACCCAGATGTATAAGGAAATCTCAAGTTTGATGCAACTAACATGCTTGAGGTTCTCCCCCTTCGTTGTGTTCCGTCTGAGCGCACGTAGCCAATTAAAAACGATCGCGTCACATCACGAAGCTTCTATAGAGCCAGGCCGCAACAGTCTTAGAAGTGCTTCTTTCGAGTCCTCTTAGCCGCCTGCTGGCTCAACTCAACCGTCCATCTCATCAACTTTCCATCATACTCAGCAGTATGCTCACCCTTTCCGCGTCCAAACCACGCCTTCTTCAAAGCATCAGCTCTATCGTTATCCTCAAGATGGATTAACCATCTCAGCATGGTAAGGTATCCGCTATCCAAGGATCCAGAGATCCATGCGTGATGAGGGCTAAGAGCCTCGCCGCAGATAGCGAACTTTCCATCGCAGAGGAGCTGCTGAAACTCAGGGTAGATATAACTGAATTGACCAGGGCCGAAAAGGGCGAAAGCGCCGCCGGTGTAGGGATCGTGAGACCAAGCGAAAGCATGGTGCTCAAGATACTCGTTCCTCAAAAAGTCAACCGTAATTTTGGGATCCGTACTCCCTCCCCAAAGCTTGACGAGATCTTGGAAGCACTGAGTAACAACAGCATCATCGATATGCGGCTTCTGCTTTGTGTAATCAGGAATCAGAGAGCCCATTCGCGTAGCATCTTGAGCCCAGGTATAAGACGTCATGAGCACAGCAGATGTATCATCACCATCGTCCCAAGATGGGTAGACGATGTTGCTGCTTGGCAGATCAGAGCCCGATACACCGCCGAAAGTGCTGCCGTTCGTTGAAGCTTTGTACATATTCTTCCACCAGCGGCTCTTGAACTTGACTGCGACCTTGCAGGATCGATCGTAGCTGAGAGCTCGGATACCGGTGAGAATGTTTCTCTGGGTCTGGGGTAGCCCAAAACCGGGGACGAGGCCCGAGATGTCCATGCGCTGGAGAGGACCCATGGCGGTGGTGTTGAAGACCATGTCGTATGCCTCAGTCTTGTTGCCCTCAGCTCCATTGATAGTCACTTCGATCTTATTTTCCTGATGGTTCTCTGACATAGCTACGACAGGTGTGTTCTTCGTGACCTTCAGAGAGACAGGGTTGTGAGGAGCCCACTTAGGATCTTCGATACATTGGTTCATCTTTTCGGTGACGATTGTCATGCCGCCCTCAAGACGCCACCAAGGCTTACCAGCCGTGGCCTGGAAATCGCTGAAGTCGCATAGAGATTCAACGAATGACTGCTCGAATAGACCAGTAGAGCTTCATGGTGTTAGTATTAGATGGTGTCACTAGATCACAGGTGGTTGACTTACGTAGAAGCAGACTCGGCTTCTTCAGTCTGGTCATAGGTCCATCTTGGAGGGGAGGTTAGCAGATGTGAAAGACGTTCAGCACGGTACTTACTTCGGGTCGGTGAACATAAGCCAGCCTCTGGTTGAATGGTTGTCCTTGCCAGTTTTGACCCATTCCTCAAACTTCTCGTCCCAGTTTGACCCAAGACCCTTTATAATCTCATTCATTCGCTCATCGTATGGCTTGCCGCTATTAAAAGTCAGTATTCTTCACCTTAGAATAAAAGGGAGGTCTTCTTACTCGGGCGATTCGGTGTTAGAGTACCAGTGCATCTGAGGCTCGCAACCAGCATCAAGAACATACTTCGTTTTCGGAAGCTTCAGCTCCTCGATCAGGGTAAGTGTTCTATGATAATTTAGTACACTGGTCAGGTAAAGACTGGCGAACTAACGATTGCATGGCATCAATCTCGGGGATGCGCATAGCGCCAATGTCGTAGTAGTTATGAGGAGATGCATTTTCCTTGTCAAAGTTATACGTATACACGCGGCCACCGATCCTGTCTGAAGCTTCATAGATATCCACATTGGATATCTTGAGATACTTGAGCATCATAGCAAGGTACAAGCCTGTGGCGCCCGCACCAACGATGGCAACACGACCCTTGTACTCGGAGAGATGCTCCAGGGGATCTTCATGTCCGTGATATGGTGCATGGCCGATTGCGGGAAGGGGTTCATTTCGACTGACACCATCGTTCAGTTCGAATCGTAGGCTACGGAGATGCTTATCAAGAAGATGCTTAGCGTAAGCAACCCGCAGACCACTTGGAACCTGCAATGAAGGGTCCTGAGGCGGCATCGCCGGGAGATGCTCTGCACGTTTAGCCATTTTCGCCAAGTTAAAAATAGAATATGCAGTGTTTCTCTGAACAAAAAGGTAGGAACTGAACTTCGAAAGCTGTCGAAATCCAAAGACAAAGAGCCAGTGCCCTTGATTGAGCAAGCCATCTTTTTTATACCCATTGTCGGTCAACAGAACCCCCGCTCTCGACACAGTATCATATGCAGTCTTACAAAAGTGAACATATCACATTCCTGCCATTGGTTTCCCCTCACTTCGGCGCAGCAATATTGAGAATTGGGCATATTGTGGCGAGCTGAACCATCGCGGTTTGGCTGGGGAAACGGCTCAGCGTGCCACTAGATGCATGAGCTAGTCGGCCCGCCCGGCAACCCGCAACTAAGTAGCCACCATACCGCTTTTTGCCGTGTCACGGGCAGATCTCCCTTGCATTCGGTGTGCCCATGTACCGCAGATGCTGAGGATCAATCGTGTGCAGGCCAGCGCTTCACTAGGAAGCCGTCTGGCAGGAAGATCTCGAGATTGTAAGGTTTGCCCAGAAAGAGAAGCAATTGCTGTTGCCTTTTGGTCGGCTGAGAAGAAAAGCTGCCTGTCAAAACTCAGAACAGAACACGAGGGCACTAGTACGTGGCAGGCAGTAAGCAGCTGAAACCTCATTTTAGACCGCGATGAACGAGCGAGTTGGTCTGATCAAACCAGTAGTGGCTATTGAACAACAAGCTTTCTCGCAATGCTTGCTATTCTAAGACTGTTTAACCCGGCAGTTACATGTTTGGATTTGAAAGATAAAGCGAAAAGTCGTATTCTATTTAGTGACTTGAAGTTACTGTCATCGCCTTCATTTCTGATGACGTCCTGATCCAGAAATCGACATTTGATTGGGCTGTTCAGACCCCGCATTCGTGCAACTTTGTCAATCAAGGACAAGCTGTGCCTCTCACTCACTCAACACCATCTCGCATCTCACATCACCCACCAAAATGCCATCCAATCACCTCTTCCAATATTCGGTTGTCTCAGCCCTCATGGATGGGGTCGCCGAGACAGGAGTCACCCTTTCGGAACTCGTCACACATGGCGATCATGGCCTTGGCACCTTTCGACACATGGTTGGCGAAATGATCATTCTTGATGGGATTATTTATGATATGAAGCCTGATGGCTCTGTGAATGCTCTTGACAAAGATGCGTGCGCTGAACGGACGGCACCTTTTGCGATGATCACGGATTTTAAACCGAGCATTACTGCTTCGAAACCATTACCGAGCAAGGATTCCTTCACGGAGACTCTGTCTCAGCTTCTTCCTGCGACGAACAATCACTATCTGGTCTACAGAATTGAGGGTACATTCAAATCAGTCACTGTACGGACTGTCGGAGGACAGCAATCACCAGGCGAAAGTCTTGCCGAGCTTGGAAAGCGACAGGCTTCGCATAGGTTCCACGACATCAAGGGTACGATCATTGGGTTCAGATCGCCTGCTTTCATGCAGGGCATCAGCGTCGCAGGCGATCATTTACACTTCTTGGCGGCGACCAGAGACTCTGGTGGTCATGTGCTAGCATTGGAAGGTGATGGTGATTTGGAGGTCAGCGCAGCTCGGATTGCATCAGTCAATCTGCAATTGCCAACAGATGATGATGCTTACAATCAAGCCAAGTTGGTCCGAGATGATGAAGGAATAGCTGCGGTTGAGGGCTAAGTCTCGAAGATGCTTCACTCGCCGACGTGACTTGAAATACGTTGCCCCTGCTGTAGATTTTGGAAAGTCGAAGAAGCTCTATGCTTGCTCCTCCATTCTAAATTTACTGATATCATAGATACTATAGTCTCATATTATACACAGCTGTCGATCTTTCCCCTCTCTACACGATAAAGTTGTTAAGGTCTTCATGCAAAGTCATCCTTGTCCAGTAACACCAACATTATTCTCCACCTCAACATGCTTGGCTGACAGGGGCAGTAGGAGAAGCGAAAGCACATTTGCGGGGAAGAGTGAAAATCTGAGTAAGACGGCTACTTCATGCATCCTTACCGCCCAATGTGTCAATGAGAGATTTTTATCCCAGCGGTTATCTCTGGCAACAATGCGCGGCCTTGCCCTTTCGTCTCTGCTGTTCTGGATAGCTGGCTGTAAAGCCACAGCACCAGACTGCAAATGCTTCCCCGGTGACTCTTGTTGGCCTTCTGATGACGAATGGGATCACCTTAACAGTACAGTCGGTGGCCGGTTGGTAGCTACCGTTCCGCTGGGAAGTCCATGTCATGATCCGAATTATGATGCTGAGGAGTGCCAACGCCTTCAGAGCGAATGGCTGTATTCGTCAGTTCAGTGAGTCCGGCTCCAGTCATTCCATTCAGTGCCACGATCTGCTTCAATGCAACAATATCGGCTGCTAACATATGAAAGTTCAGAATCCTCCTCGTCCATGATGGCTCCTCTGTTCGCCAACCAGTCTTGTGACCCATTCCAGCCCAGGGACAAGCCATGTACGCTCGGCAACTACGTCAGATATGCCGTCAATGCCACCTCTGCAGAAGATGTCGCAGCGACTTTAAACTTCGCCAAGGAGAAGAACATACGCTTTGTAATCCGTAACACAGGTCATGACTACCTCGGCCGTTCAACCGGCGCAGGATCCCTTGCTGTTTGGACTCACTACCTAAAGGGCACCAAAGTCATCGATTGGAAGGGCAATCACTATCAAGGAAAAGCTCTCAAAGTCGGCGCCGGCGTTCAAGGTTTTGAAGCACTTGCAGCTGCCCATGCCGAGAATCTAGTCGTCGTTACTGGAGAATGTCCTTCGGTTGGCCTGGCAGGAGGTTATACCCAAGGAGGCGGTCATTCAGCCCTAAGCACCAGTTTCGGCCTAGCCGCAGATAACACGCTCGAATTCGATGTCGTTACTGCCGATGGAGAGCTTGTCAAAGCGAGCAGGAGTAAAAACAGCGACTTGTACTGGGCTCTGAGTGGAGGTGGCACGGGCAACTATGGCGTCGTTATCTCAGCTACTGTACGGGCTCATCCAGAAGCTCAAGTCAGTGGAGCTAAGTTTCTTGTCACTGCACCTGAAGGAAGGCCAGAGCTCATATACAAGGCAATCGACGCTTTTCATGATGCTCTCCCCAAGATCGTTGACTCCGGGGTTATGATCATCTACTTCTTCTCAGACTCATTCCTCCAGGTTCCCGCTCTGACGGCGTACGACAAGGCCGAGGCCGAGGTCAAACAGATCCTGCAGCCACTCGCTGATTCTTTGTCCGATCTTGGTATCAAATTCGAACCGAACTTTACGCATTTCTCAACTTACTACGAGCATTACGATCACTATTGGGGTCCTCTCCCAGCGGGTAACATCCAAGTAGGAACACAGCTCTTCGGAGGTCGCTTACTGCCTCGCAACAAGCTGAAGGACTTCTCTCCAACAGCACAGAAGCTCGCTGAGATGGGAGTTATTTATATTGGCGTCGGTCTCAACGTGTCCAAATTCGGGGGCAGCAACACCAACTCAGTACTGCCGCAATGGCGAGATTCCATCGTGCAGGTTTCTCTAACTCTTCCCTGGGATAATGAAGCTCCATGGGAGGAGATGTTGGCTACTCAGAGGAGGATGACTAGGGAGATTCAACCTGTTATTGAGGAGGCGACTCCTGGTGCCGGTGCGTATATCAACGAAGCAGACTTTCAACAGAAGGATTGGCAAGAGACCTTCTATGGAGTCAATTATGATAAGCTTCTGAGGATAAAGAATAATTACGATCCTGGGCATCTCTTCTATTCCACGGTTGCTGTCGGTAGTGAGGCTTGGTCGATTGCAAAGGATGGGCGTATGTGTCGGTCGCAAAGTTGATGAAGGACATTGAAGTTAGTCTACTTAACTTAAGCCTGTTACAGATAGTTTAGAGTCTTTCTACGAACTCTCTTAGTTACTCAAATATACACCAAGTCACATTAAACTTACCTAGATCAATCCATCGCATAAAGCATACGTCCTCGCTTTGTTGCCTCCTGTAAGATATCCATCGCCGTCACTTCTAAAAGGCCACGAAGTAGCATTATTTGCACAATTATGTATTAAGAAATCTATGGTATTGTCCGGCGTTGCATAGGCCTTGAAATAACTATGTGACTGTAACCTCAGTCGTCTTTCTGATAACGAATCCCTCAACATCCATGTCTTCCATCTCAACTTCCGACACCCCGGAGCGTGTGGATCCATTGGCTGGGACAATCTGCTCTTGGGAAGCATTTCTATCTCCCGGGGTATCGGCCCCATACATCTTCGAGGCGTAATTAGACTTTGTTGTCGTGTAGCATCTTGTCTGAGTGCTCAAGCCGTAGCGGTTGCCAGCAGCAGCTTGGTCACTATGGGTATATATCGATCGATCCTCATTGAAGCGGAGCTTGGACGCAAGGGTATCGAAGCTGTACTAGGTTAGATCTGGAGCAAGGGAGGACTTTGCGGGAGACTTACTATAGAACAATTGGGTACAAACAGAACAGAGCGTAGAGGAAGCGATCCAATTGACTGGCGATGTTGACAGCCTTCTGACCCGGAGTTTGGAAAGGATGAATGATAGTTCGTACAACTCCCAGAACGGCCAAGAAAGCGACACGCATTTCGGTACTGCGTGTCAAATATCGCAGAAGGCCAACTTTGAGAGCAGCGCTCATACTGGCTGTCTTGGCTGAGGCGAAAATGACGACAAGGAAATAGGCGCTGAGACATTCGGAGATGGCCATGAAGGTGAAGTAGCCAATGTGAAGATAGTTGATGATGACTTCGAACTTGGCGACACCCTCAATCAAGAACTTGGCACGATAGATCGCAATGAAGACTCGAGTGATCGCCGTCAAGACCATGAGAGTCCAGAACAGAATGGAAAAGACGCGCCATTGCTTCGGTCGGAGAACTCGCTGGAGGATGATATAACTGTACAGCAGCAGACTGGCTTCTTGCAACTATTCACATCATCAGTAACATTCACTTTCAATTGACAGAAAAGGTATCATACCAGCCAGAAGAAGTCTGAGAACACAGCCGCTACAACTTCGTTGATGACAGGATTCTTCAGGTAGTAAACATAATAGCAGAGCCCATTGGCAATAGCCCCCGCCGCAGACGAAAAGATCGGCACAGCAGCTAAAACAGTAAACGTGGTAATCTCACAGACCAAAATACCAAAAACAACATTGACGAGACAGATGGTGCTGAAGATAGACCAGCATACCTCGAAGTAATCCATGGTCGTTCGAGTCAGCCTGTCTGCCAAGAAAAAAGGCTTTGCAAGACAAACTGCGACAGCACGAGGAGGGGAGACAGCTGCGCTGATCTTATGTGCGTGCGCAGAGCGTGGCAGAGTCTAAAGGGGACTGGAGGCAGGGGACCATGGAGATGGCGTTTCCTGCTAAACCGCGTGTGTTCCTTGCCCAGTCTGCATGTGGTTCGGCTTGGCTGGGGCGGGCTGAGGTTTGGTTTGACTTGACACGCGCGAAGGATGTTCCACTACCGTCACTGGGGAAGGAGACTATTGCCGGGGAAGAGGGCTAGAGGCTTCGATGTTCGATTCATGATCAGCTGGTATGTATCTCCGTCTGGAACATTGTGGCTGAGACTCATCAACCCTCCCCAAATCGATGATCTCTCCCCATTGTGTCATCCATCGGCAACCAAGAACAATACAAAAGATCCATGACTATCCTCCCTTCATCTCCCATCAAGTCTCCTCCTTCCATAAAGACAATCACGCGTTTTGGCTTCGTTAATAAAGTTTGGCTAAAGTTTTGAGTCTGGGGCCTGGCATGAAATTCGTTCTAGACTAAGTCTCAATGGGGAACTAGGCCAAGACAGGGATGAGCTCGATCTACCAACGAGATCTCAGTAATGTCGTCGCTTGTGCCTCGACTGACTCGCTCCATCGCCTGGGAACGGGCGTAGACGGTTGCGGAAGAGGGAAACGGTTGGCGGATTATCCTAGGCCCCCTTGGACATTCAGCTCCGGATCCATTTTATGGAGTCTCTCGGGGACGACGATGATTTATTATGGTTCTTATATGTCACCAGTTGCTTCATTTTCGTGTCTAATACATAATAGATTGGTATTTCTTGTTTATTGACTCCATTTTCAATTTCTCAAATTTTGCGTCACCTTTTCCGAGACAAATAATTGACGTTTCCATCTACTCACTCCTATGGCCTCTAGTCTTGATGTTCTTGGCCTGACTCAAAATCGATGATGCTGCCAAAGTGTCAGACAAACTATTTGAGCTAAAAAGCCTCCGAGTCAGCGCTCTAATCTGCACAAAAGTCCGCCAAAGGCACTATTGAGTCCTTTTCTCCGGTCAACAGCATCGGAATTTCCCGATCGCTAAACCCGCAATCATAAGACTTCAGGTCGTCTTGACTCACGCTCAAACGGTAATAATCGGGTAACTCGTATCCAGCCCAGCTGTGCACCGTTGGACAAAGAAAATCCACGTGCTCCCGAAAAAGGGGTCCCGTCTCCTCCGCAAATAGTCTTCCGAGCTCGCATTGACTCCTATCCACATGTTGGAGAACTCGTCTAATTAAGGAGAAAGGCTAATCAGAGTCTTCGGGTGCATCTTTCCCGGCTGGTGGCATCGCTCACGAGAATCGGCCGAAAGATATTGACAGGCAGATGATCCCTGTTCGGAAAGCTGCCCGATCATATGACATCGTTACATCGTTTCGTCTCAAGAAGCTGTCACGATGGTCAGTGCTAAGCGAGCTGAAAATACCCTTGAAGACATCGTCACGCGTCATGCATGGATGCCACTGAAGGTTTTGCAGACATCGGCTCTTTGCCCGAGTTGAATGCATGTGTTTAACAAACAAACTGTTAAATCCAAGCGAGCCCCGCAGTCAACAAGACAGTAAAGCCGATTGTTAGATCTAAAGTGGTGCGCGGAACGAGACCCTTGATAGAGCGCAAAAACAACTCGGCAAAACAGCGCAACAAAGCAGCTTGGCGCAGTGGAAGCGCGGTATGTGATTTCGCATCCTCTCATCTCGAACATGCACTAACAATTCCCGTAGCCGGGCTCATAACCCGGAGGTCATCAGATCGAAACTGATAGCTGCTAGCTATATCTTTTTTGGCTTTTTCTATTTGCCATGCCGTGATTTTTGCCTTTCAGATTTAGTGCTTCTTTCCGCGTTCAATCCTGTCTATGTGCCATAAATTGCATCGTGACACTGGCGAGACCGATGTCTTACTGTTTGGCATTGAACCCATTCACAACCAGCGTGGATTTCTGGCGCTCTCATGTCGCACTCGAATTGAAATCGCTATCGAAAGTAGAGAGCATCAACGATCTGACATACCGCGACCGTGAGTGTCGGCTGTCGACATCTCGCCAATTTGCGGCGCCTCTTCACCAACAAGCCCCGAATAGCTCAGCTGGAAGAGCGTTCGGCTGTAATTGATAACACATCTCACCGAAAGGTCACTTGTTCGATCCAGGTTTCGGGGATTTCTTTTTGCATTTTTGACGATCTGTGTCTTGGTGTTTTGTTCTGTCTCGCTTAACAATTAAGGGTCATTCTGGCGGGGTGGGTGCCAATTATAAATTACCCGAGACTTAGCCCTATCTGACCTGGTAAACCGTAAAGGCAAGAACTCTTATTTTAATACATAGTTGATATTCCTAGTAGTAGTTTCTATTAGCTTGATATGCTAGAGACAATACATTATCTCATCCTCGCGGCATTTAATTCGTGGTGTGGTTTTTGCGCCTGAGCTTTCGTGAGCCAGAGCTCACACAGCACCAGTCCATGACAAGATTTCTGTATAATAAGACCTAATTAGGGCGAGTCGAAGCTAGTTGAACACGTAAAAAGGGACTGAAGATCACTTGTTCGCTTTATTTAGTGTCTTGTTACAATCTGAAGCCTTTTTCTATTGTTCAATTCGATTTCTTTATTTCATTGCTCAACTGTAGGGTATTCCACGGAAAACGATGTCACACCTAACGGGGATCATTGGACCGGAAGAATGTGACATATAGTTGTAAGACATAAAGTTATGCAACATCACTAGAAACGGGGTTTAAGCATCCATGGGCCTTAATCTTTCCTACATTTCAAAACATATGGATGCTCTGATGAGGTCTTTTCGACTACTCCAGAACCTCGAATCCAACCAAATCAGGCGCCCAACCGCCCGAAGCAGACGCAGTGAAAGCCACTGTGTTGTTATCTCCCTTCTTGAATCCATCAACAAGGATTCTGAGCCGGTCGCTCTCAAACCAATCACCTCCAGCATTCGGAAACGCCCATCGCTTTGCATCTTGTCCGTTGACAGAGATTGACATGTTCCGGGAGTTTGTCTCCCAATCGCCGATCGTGTGATGGTACTCATGATTGATGTAATCGATGCCAAGATAGGCTGGACCATCCTTGGCTGCACTGACTGACTCAAAGGTCACTTTAGCATCGCTACCGATGGATCCAACCTTTTTGTGAGTTGGGAGACATTCTGTGTCTTTGCAGTTGACGAGAGAAGCTGAACCTGAGAGAGTTGCGTCTTGAGCTGAATAGTAACCTGCGGCTTTAGGGAGTGAAGCCGGACTGATGTCGGACAAGACAAGCTGTCGTAACTCATGAGGCGCAAGTTTGAATTCCTGGATGCCCGAGATGCTGAGATCTTCATGAGCCCATACGTCTCGCGCTGCCGCCTTGTCAACACCAATCAGCGACAGATCGACCTTCACTGTCTGGGTCTCGTTCTTCCAGTTCAAAACGCCGAGGACCTGACGGTTGGAAGAGAGGTTTCCGGCCCAGACATCCCACTCTTCTTCTGTATAGCGAATAACAAGCTTCGTTGCTTCTGCCAAAGGATCTTGATTGATAGCGATGACTTCTTTGTTGGACATGATCTCGAGAGATTCGGCAGGGATCTGCTTGGCGTCCATCACACCGCCGATGATGAGAGGTGATTTCATCATGGACCAGAAGCCGAAGTGGAAGCGTTCTTCATCGTGCGAAAGTGCGCCAAGACCGATACTATAATGGTTAGCATATGCCACGAAGGGTCAGCAACGTAGCTCACATCAGCATGTCCATATCAGCAAAAGCGCCTGGTCCATTGTATTTGGCGTGAGCGACAACCTGGTTAGTAATGCGCCAAATTGCTCTCCAGGCATTAAAGATATCGTTACTCATTCGCCATGCGTTTCCTAGAGGAGCAGCCCTGATTACTATTAGAAGAGGAACTTCGATTTGCCCTGACAACTTACCATTGGGGAACATCTTCGCCAATACCCCATTGGCAGAGGAAGTACTTGATGTCGCGGTCAGTCTCATTAATGGCTGCGGCCATCTTAATGAAACGATTGGGGCTCTTTGCTTCAGCTGAGGTGGCGTCGACCATGTTGGTCTTGGATGTCGCATAACAGTTGTCGTATCTGGAGATTGTCAGTGGACGTAGATTGGAAAGGGTAGACTGTCTTACTTCAGGGTGTCGCCACCCCATTCGGCAAATGATTTTGCATCAATCTCCTCGTAGTCTATTGAAGCCAGTTAGTGCACTGGCCAGTTTATCATGAGCTGTACGATGCACGTACCAAGAGAAGCAGGGATGTCAGTTGAACCGCATTGTAAATATCCAGCTCCCGAATAAAGACCAAATTCTAGACCCAGATCATGGATATACTCTCCAAGAGCTTTGGGACCCGACGGGAACAGAGTCTCATTCCATTGAAGCCTTCCTTCGCTATCTCGGTCTCTCGAAGGCCATCCGCAGTCTACCGTGACGATACTATAGCCAAGATCCTTGAAACCAAGATCAACCAGCCCTTTGGCATTTATCTTGATGATTTCCTCGGATGGCCGACAGTTGTAGTGATTGTAGCTATTCCATCCCATTGGTGGAGTGGGAGATTTGACAGTCTTGCCATATGCGCTGGCAAGAAGCGAGGCAAATACAAGAGAAGCCATATTGATGACGATGAGAGAGCTATCAATGCACGCTGGAAAACACCCGTAGATGCAGAGTAATCCAGTACTCTTATACTCGCGTTATCCGTCGAAGCGCGTATTCAATCCGGATGCTAAGCATTTAACCATAAAACCTTCGGGTTTTAGATGCAGACGGGACGAGAATGGAAACTTATGACACCATACTCACGATTCAATAGGTGCGGCTACCCCACAAGCTAACATACGATCACAAATTCAGCTGCTAATAGGTGCGCATCTTGAATTTGCGTTAAGGTATGTCGATCACCGACGCATGGGGTATTTTATATGCGGGGAACCCTTCCTGTTCTTGTTCTGACGTTGCATCCCGACACGGATAAAGACGACCAGTCATACGGAGACCAAGAGAAGATGCACTGACGTTCATTAGGCGACCAAATGGTTGTGTGTTCATTGAACCGTTGGACGATTATGCTACCCAACACGTCTACGGTATGCATTGCCATCCCCACGATATCTTTCATGTGAAGATTCAGGACCAAAAGAAACAATAAGCGTGCTTTACAGTGTATACTTTGTGCCACCAAATATGGGAGCCATTTGACCTGGCATTTCCTTCTCAATAAGTCCCTTGAACCTCCACCCAGTACAATGTCCCGGCATCAGCAAAGCCGGCTCGAGATCCTTGAGATCCTTCATGCTCTGCTCCATCTTATCAGGTGACGCATCTGCGAGGTGATAGCCGCCGACAATAGCGTAGATAGGGCTGTCGTCGATAGCTTTCGCATATCTGGTAATGTTGATGAGACCAGCGTGACTGCAGCCGGTGAAGATGACCAGGCCCTTGCCTGCGAAGACGTTAGATGTGACGATTGGTTGAGTGATGAAAGGGACTCACCTTTGAGCTTACACATGACAAACCGTTCTTCCATGATCAGCTCGTCCTTTGTCCATTCATCCTTGGCCGGATCATATCGAACACCACCTGGGATGCCACCTTCATACTCTGTCTGGCGCGGAATCTCTCCGGATATGAGAAAGGCATCGTCGAGAATGGTTCGTGCCTCATTCAAGACAACTGTCTTACCACCAGCACTATCGATCTCATTCATGGTTGGGTCTGCTTCCAGCGAAATAGGTTGATCGAACATGATTCCTCGGAACGCTGGCTTATCTGGAGGAAGCGTAACAAGGACCTGATCGTCGTCTGACCTCCCGCTGCTGGCAAGCCGAATCGCCGAGAGAAGCCCACCAGAGTGATCTCTATGCCAATGCGAAAGAACAATGGCACCAATTTCAGCCATTGGGAGCTTGAGTCTCTGGACGTTTTTCTCGAAAACGTCTTCCTCGGGTCCGGCATCGAAAAGCAGCGTGTGAGACTTATCGTCCTTCTTCGCTGTCTGTCAAAGGTTCAGTACACGGTACCGGCATTTGAGAAGACAATCTCACGATAAACAGGGACAGGCCATGAGCGCCGCAACAGATATTTCGCATTGGCATTTCCAACCGAGCTCCTCCTCGAGAGCTGGAGTCTGACACAGGGCTCAATGGGACACCGGCGAAAGATTGGGCTTGCTGAATCCGCGGGTTTGGGCTCGGTGAGATTTGGTCAATCTCATCATTGATCAAGACATGAATGTCAAGGCTGTCGACTTCAATGAGTGATGGCATTTTTGGCGTCATACTGAGAGAAAGAGCACTGAATCTGGTATATGGCTGACATAGTTAAGCGGGGAGAATGTGTCTTATAATGACTTTCTGAAGCCATCGTGTCATGCCAAGTTCTTTCTGAGTCATGGAATACGATGTTTGCGGCATTCGGCTTTTCACAGAGTCCGAGATGGCAAAGAACCCGTTATGTCTCCATTATCGAGCAATATTTTGTGAGTAACTCAGTTTTTGTGATGTTTCATTACAAATATTCTGATGGCCTAAGAGCAATCGGAGAATAAACAAGTGGCCGAGGACGAGCGAGGGCTTCTTTGACGATCCCTCATGCTCATGATTTCGCTGAGTCAGACAGTCGGACTCGCCAGGCCCGTGTGATGCCTCGGCTAAAGATACCCCTCATAACTCCGTATACATCAAATAAACACCGACAGGCAATCGTGCAGACCGATTATGACATACCAAAATATCATTTCTTCAACTTTCAGCAAGTAAGATTGACGACATCATGCCTCAATCGCCTCAAGACCCAATTATTATCGGCGTCGGAGAATTCCGCCAAAAGAATTTCACCCTCGAAAATACCCTCGAACCAGCAGAGCTTATCTTATCAGCAATCCATGATGCTGCCAAAGATACAACAGTCGATGTTATCAAACATGTAGATAGTATTTCTGTGGTTCCTCCCTGGTCTTGGACATATGATGATCTACCAAAGCACCTTGCTCAGAAACTTGGCGTTAAACCTTCATATCTTGAGCTCTCGAGCCATGGAGGTCATACTCCTGCATTGCTATGCGACGCAGCAGCAGCCAGAGTTGCGGCAGGGGAAACGAAATTGGCAATCGTCACTGGTGGTGAGGCATTGGCGTCGTGTAAGTTGAAGTCGGACTGAAATGAAGACCTTTTGGCTGATATGTGTCAGTGTCTGCGTGCCAGAAAGCTGGGCGTCTTCCGCCACCAGGTTGGACTGAGATGTCCCCTGATGCAAAGTTATATGGCCCGAGTGACCCTGCACTCTTGAAAGGTAAGCATGAACTCAAACTCTCCATTAGAGACTGTCTGATAGGATGAAGACGTCGGTGCCTCGCACTCCATCGGAATGCCAATTCAAGTATACCCTCTATACGAAAACGCATACAGGAAGCATAATCAGCAATCATTCTACGAGAACCACCATGAATCAGCAGCCCTTTACGCTGAATTTGACAAGATTGCCTGTCAACATCCAATCAGTTGGAGAGCAGGCGAAACACCACGAGATGTTGATGCTATCAAGACGATAACTAAGCAGAATCGGATGATCTGCACACCTTGTATGTATAGACGCCACGGACTCTAACTATGAGCTAACCAGTTAGACCCGTTGTTGATGAATGCCTTCAACGGTGTAAACTTGGCGGCGGCCTGTATCATTACTTCTGCTGAGTATGCTACCAAGCTAGGCGTCCCCGAGGATAAATGGGTGTACATCACTGGCGGCGCTGGGTCGAACGATAGTTCGCACTGTAAGTCAACTTTTCCCCATTGAGTGAGGTGATACTGATATTGAGTCTAGTTTGGAAGCGGGCCAATTACTTTTCTAGTCCTGCTATCGAGTACTCAATCGACAAGGCCCTCGAATCTGCTGCGTTCACTAAGAACGAGATCGATTGCTTTGACTTCTACTCGTGAGTTCAGGAACATGGAAGTTGGGAGTGGAACTCACATGTTCACAGGTGCTTTCCCATTGTCCCGAAACTTGCTTGTAAGCATGTCGGTCTCGATGTTCAGAAGCCAGCCAAGCCTATCACCTTACTTGGTGGCCTTACTTCCTTCGGCGGCGCAGGCAACAATTATTCTCTCCACGTAAGCCTTCATCAGAGTCTGAAAGAGCATGTTCTAAAGTTCTTGACAGGCTATCGCGGAGATGACGAGAGTCATTCGAACCCGGCAGCATCAAAATGGCCTGGTGCTTGCGAACGGAGGAATTCTATCGTGGCAACACGCTCTTTGTTTATCGTCTCAGCCGCGGCGTAATACCTCTACTTATGTGAGAAGTAAAGTTCTTGACAATGGCGATGTTTCTCAAGGCCCAGTGTTCACCCCGACAGCGCAAGGCGAAGCTGTAATTGAGGTTCGTGCCACTCTCCAATCATTCGCACCTGTCTAATGAGTTACGTGATTGCAGACTTATACTGTGGACTACGATCGTAAGGGACCTAATCTCGGCCATATAATTGGACGACTGCTTGACAGTGGACAGAGATTCATTGCAAACCATGGTGATGAGCATACATTGGCGACTCTTGCGAGTACTAATGGAGAGCCAATCGGTATGAAGGGCCATGTGAACCGGTCTGGTGACGGCCGAAACCTCTTCACTTTCTCAGCGAGTGCGAAACTGTAAAAGTAGCCTTTTAGACTGAGACGCGGTGCATAATTGACATTAGCCCTGATTGATTGAAGCTAATCACCGGGAGTTTCTGTTTATTTCCGTTAGTCATGAACTGGTCCCATGATTCACGCTCGTGATTGATTGATCGGCGCGGGAATAGAATAATCCGAAAGCAAAACCTTACCAAGACATCGATGACGCTGATCCTTTCTTTTTGTCAATCTTGAATGCGTTTATGACGTCACATTTCGTTCCGTCAAAATGGCATTGGCAACACGACTTCTCCTTGTCGCCTTCGTATGTCTCCTCTTCGCTGACCGCGTCTCAGCCTTTGGAGCAGGCGAAGTAGCAGGTAATAGCGAATTCAACGGCTACGTCTGGCGTCATGGCGACATCGTCGAAGCCCTCCGGTACCTGCCTGCGAGTTTTGTGACGCACTACAGATTTTCAACGCTCGAGCGGCGACAAATTTACTTTGGGAACTGGCTTCGAGACTTTTCGCAAATCATCGATACAACAGGCCTTGACAATGTTCCTGAGCCGGTTCTCAGAGCTATTGTCAGCATCATGGGGTTCTTGGAGTTCGGCTTCGCGACCGACGAGTTCGAGGTGACGCGCGAGCGCTTGGGATGTTACACTCATGTGGAGCATATCGACAACCCCAAGGGATACCCGAGTAATGCCAAGGAGATTGACGAGAGGCTGAGAGGGCCTTTGGATCCACGTGAGCTCGAGTTTGACCCCAAGACGGGCATGAAGAACTACATTGCAAACTCGGGCAAAGGCTGGGACACTTCTGCCGATTACGTCACGCGAGAGCTACGCGAGTGCATTCGACTCGGGCGCGAGAAGGATCCAAAGTCCAAGAAGGAAGCGTTCATTCACCTCGGCGCTGCACTTCATACTCTCGAGGACTTCTCAGCGCATAGCAATTTTACCGAACTCTGCCTGCATGAACTCGGCGAGCACGACGTTTTTGCCTTTGTTGGCGAAGCCTGTCGCGTCAAGACCCCACGATGGAGAAGTCGCATGGTACCGCCCATCGTGACCGGCACTTTCGGAATGCTCGACATCTTCCACAGTATTCTTGGTGAAGCCGACGACATGGCCATCCTCCAGTGCAAAGGCTCGTTGCAGAACCTCGAGAACGTGCGCAAGCCGACCCCCTCCTTTCACATGCCCGTGCTGACTGCCAACAGGAACTGAACCTCGGCGAGATCGCATTCCAGCACATCTTCGACCTACTCAAAGCCGCGATTCAAGCGATTAGCAAATTAGCCTCCAAGACGAACGACCCGATTCTCCAACAGCTCGAGACCGTCGGCGTGCTCTTCAAGAAAGCCGAGGAAGACAAACAAAGCTCAACTGTCGCGAATAGCCTCGACGCCAATCAGCTTTGGCAGACTATCGAACCGATCTTCTACCTCCACGACCGAATCAAGAAATGGATCCAAGAGCGCACGGAACAACATGATGCTGAGCCGCTGTCGGAGGAGTCTAGCACACAGTTGGGCAAATGGACAGACCAGCTTGTCTTTAAGTACCTGTCGCTCATGATAGAGAGCTCTATCATGCAGCTACGCAATGCGCTCAAGGCAGCGAAAGAGCGTGTTGATGCTGAGGCTGCAAAGTCGACGTCTGCTGAGGTATACCTCGATGGTGATGGGTCTGATCCCAGCCATTCGGACATCTCAAAGGATCACTTCAGCAACGTACTCAACCAGCCCGCAGGCCTTGTCTCCTCCGTCACGACAAACTGGACAACGCAACAGGTCGTCAAATGCTGGGACGATCCCTTCCGCAATGAAGAAGAAACGATCCGCCAGATCCTCACAATCATGCATCATCCCGCCTTCCCTCGCCACAAAACACCCATCCAGAAATACATGTTCACCGCCGTCGAGGAATGGTGGAACCACAACACGGCCTCCGAAAAAGAGACCATTCGTGGTATGCTCACAAAGGAGAGTGTCCGCAACCGCCAACACGAGAATCACACCCTCACTCTTAAAGATCTCGAGGGTAAGAGGAAAGGCGTCGCTTATTTCCCTGGCTCAAGACCCAAGATCAAGGAGAGACCTGCGAAGCCATCGCCGTTGTCATGGGCTGTTGGTGAGGCGAAGAAAGATGCAAAGTGGATGTTTGGCGCTGTTAGAAGAGGCGCTGGCGATCCTGTTGCGGCGGTTTGTTTCATCGGCGAAGGTTTGTATATGATGATTGTTTACATTTTCATGATGCTTTTTGGTGCATTTGGATTCAAGTCGAAGGCATCCAGGGTTTAGGATGTAATGTTATATAGATGTGATACCTTGTAGATCGGAATACATGAGATATACGAAATGTACACTAGACTCTTTGCTTGGAGCCTTGACGGCCTGTTTACTTTTGCTTTCCACGTACGTTGCATCGCGAGTGCTGTCGCTACTTTCGATATCCTTCTAAAGACGTCGCCACGTTCACTGAATTCACAGCTTGAAGCCACCAACTCTCTTCTGCAAGATTTGAGCAGGGTCATACTTCTTGCTGACCGACTTGAGGACTTCCAGCTCATCACCTCCGTACGACTCAAAAGGCCTTTGATACGGTGCGGCGTAGTTGAGGTACTGGAACTTCTGCAGCAGACCCTTTGTGCGAGCATTATCTTCCCATTTTGACAGAACCTCCTTTGCCTTTGCTTCAACATCCGAATTGACAGCTGAGTTTGGCCACAGAGCTGAGATAAGAACAACTGTAATTGTTAGCAATGTCTATTGAAAGATTGAATGGGTACTTACTGTAGCCATCGTGCGCTGATTGAAGGCCAAGGAAATCGGTGTGCTTGGAACCTTTCAGCATCGCTGCTACCAATGGCTCAAATGCGATGCTCCATGTCACTCCGTCCTGTGGATTGAAAGAATAGATCGTCTTATTGAGGGTCTCAAACATTCGCTGCATGTTCTGAGCTGATGACTTGAGAGTCAATGTCGCAAAAAGCCAGTTCCTATATCTGTTAGGGTCGTTCACTTGAGCTCAACATGAGAACTCACAATGGTGGTGTATCCTTCTCGTTAGCAAACTCTGCCAATGTCGTGATGTTATTGGCAAGCTTCGTGTGAGGCACATCCGACAGACCGTTGAAGATCTTTGGCTGGGGAACGGGCTTTGTGTATACAGCTGAAGCTGACAATGACCAAGATTTGGAAGCCGAACTGTAAAGAAGACTGGTAACTAAGGACGCGGCGGGATCGTATGTAGATGAGTCGAGTAAGTCAGTAAAGGCCTGGAACACCTTATCCCTCTCGTTCATATCGTATGAGATGCTTGTCGTGGAAATGTCGCCCTGCGGAAATGTTTCAACGTCAAAGCGCGTAACAACACCAAAGTTGCTTCCCCCTCCTTTCAGAGCAAGAAACAAGTCTGAGTTCTCTTTCTTGTTTACGCTCATAAGAGTACCATTGGCGAGTACAACTTCGTAGTTGACCACTCTATCACAAGCCCATCCGACTTTGGTAGTAAAGTGAGATATTCCTCCACCAAGGAGCAAGCCTCCAACACCGACGTTTCCGTTTCGACCGCCCGCGACTTGAACACCTGAGTCGTCGAGATACTGATAGACGTCGAGCCACTTTGCACCTGCGCCGATTCTTGCAATGGTTGACTTCCTGTTGAGAGATACGGATGAAAGAGTCGTCATATCAATGGTCACACCACCGTTGGAGTTGGCGAAGCCTGCTGCAGGAGCATGACCATGTCCCTTGATTGAGAATTTGCAGTCTTTGTGTTTGTTGATGATACTTAAAGTAGCGGCGACATCAAGGGCATTGGTAGGTTGTAGAACGCAACTGGGGTGAAGGGCAGACTCTTGCTTTGACCAGTAGCTACTCAACGTGGAGTTGTAGCTTTTGGTATCAGGAAAGCTGATTTTGTCGCCAAGGCTCTCCTTCAATTGATGACACTGGAGCTGTTAGCTATCGTGGTTCTATCATGTTACCTCCCGAGGCACATACACATGTTGATGCTGATACGCTGGTGGACAGCAGAAAGGCAACGATATGAGCGGCAACGACCCTCATCTCAAGGTACCAAGAGTGAGAGTTTGTGGATGAATTAAAACCTGGGGTCCCCGGACTTTCTTGACTTAAGCTTGAGATCTCTTATCAATTGTGTTATTCGGACCGACTTGCTGGGTTCATGGCACTAAGACGCTTTTGATGCTGATGTTCGGTCATAGTATGCAGTAGCACGGCTCTTCGGCATCGTGAGTCGAAAAAGCAATTCTTATTCAGCCTAAAGATATATTGAAGTGGCCATATGAGACGCAAATGGTAAATTGGACTTAATTCAAGGAATCTGTTTCTTGACGCGATACAAACAGTACAGTTACACTGCCCCTTCTGAGATCCTTCAACAGCCCCGCGAAACCGCCAGTGGTCAAGCCCATTACCGAGTTGCCAGCCCATGAGATGTAAATCTGTCGAGTATATATGAACTCTTCTGCGATGGATATTGTGGTTGACGTGTCGTGATTGTAGGGATGCTTAGTGCAGACGCTTATTTCTTGCACTTCTTCTCAACGTGGTGCCACTTCTCGCCCTTGGGGCACTTGCACTTGTGGTGCTTCTTGGTGTAGACCTTGCCAGAGTCGTGGCACACGCACTCGCTCTTGGCGTGATCCCACGAAGCGTGCTTGCCGCAGTGGTGAAGGATGCTGCGATCCTCAAGATCAACGGGTTCAGCGTCGGGGTTGGGAAGGGCGGCGACTGTGCCCATGGCGAGGAGGGCGCCGAGGAAAGCCTTGTTGAGAAGCATGATGAAGGTTTTAGTTGGTGGTTGAGTGTGTGTGATTGGTGTGTGTTGAACGGATGGATGAGATAGTTGTTTGTGAATGATCCGACAAGATGCTGGGGAGCTCATAAGCCTATATACCTCTTGGCTTATGCCGAAGCTCCCTAAACTCACTCAAGCACATGTATAATGTGAATATTGAAACTTCCCGTCTCGGATATCGGCCTCTGAGTCAAACACTGGGGTTCTACGGCTGATCGGCAATGAAGCTGACAGGGCTGTCATAAAAACATGGAGCACTGCCACTGCTAGACCCAGCTGTGCCTTTATGTCAACCTTTTATAAGTGGAGAAATATCCCGTTACTACCGAGTTGCCTTGCATTGTTCGTATTCGATTCGATACTTTTGCTAATTGACAATGCAATACCCCTTTCGCCCTGAATTACCCCAGATTTGATTGAAGCCACTCACCGGGCTATGCTTCAGCCCATTTACGAGAGGTCCAATCAAATTGGCTAGGCTTCACACTCTCAGACCGGTATTCCCATAGCGCTCATCGAAGACGTTTGTCTTCCAATTGACAAACATTGTTTCTGTGAATGCCATCGAGATGTGCAAGTGACCGCGGTGTCGCATATAAACGGAACAGTTCATCCTGTAACACAAAGATAAAATTCTTATGTGACTAGTGAAGTCTGACTTCGGACGATTTGATAGTAGACCTGGTTGATAGAAAGGGAACAATTTTAGATCAGTGCTTCCAAAAGCTTGGGGCTTTACCACCTAAGATTCTCACAAGCCACGAGCTATGCCGATAGCTTGGAGGAGCTGACGCGTCTTCCATAAGTCCCGGGCGACCGCCTTTCCGAGCTATTGGAGCTTTGATGCCTTCAAATCGAACAGTCCAGATCCAAACAGCGCATCATGATACTTCTCAGCAAAAAGCGGCTAAAACGGAGCGGATATCGCTGCCGAGCGTCTCCCTTGACCAGGGCTTGGGGACTATCGGCACGTTCCGAAAGTCTATATCGAAAATAGTAGTCATCATCATGAGGCTTAGACAGTAGGATCTCCACATATAATAATGGCCCGAGGCAGATTACAACACGCCAACCAATGATACTAGGAGAGATGGTCCTTTGGGGCAGACGATCTAGACCGGTGATTTAATCTCCGGCTCTTGGAAAGCTTGTTTTCGGCACTCGCGGTGATCAGAAGTGCCATTCACGTGAAGAGCCTTGGCCATACGAGGTAGATATGGGGCTGACTTAATGACCTTCTTGAAACAGAGCGAGGCCGCATTCGCTTCTGGCCTCTGATATGGAAGGCTGTCACATAGCCAATCAGGAGGTAGCCGAGATGTCCGATCTAAGGTATGATTGAGCCGGTTGCCTTGCATCTTCAAAGGTTGAAAGGGAGGTTTAGTAAGGGAGGGTAACCACTACTTCGGATCAGCCGGACACAAAGAACCTTGGTTGCATAGATCTAATATTCTTTACGCCGAAACCAATCGGACGAGTTCGACGTGGTGGCTTGGGATTCGTGTTGTTCCTCACAAGAGCAGCGGGTGCGGGCAGGTTGGATAAGACATTGACTTGGACGCACTGGTAAATGCCAAAACATATAATTGTCCCTCTTGGTAACTACTATGCAAGACTGGTACAGACTGAATGGGCAACTGTCGCTGCATTTTCAGTGCCAAGGGCTTGTTAGAGCTGACATCGCCGAGGGCTATAAAACCCCATGTATTCAGCTCAGTGCATATGCTCAAGTCAACAATGAGAGTCAGCATTAAGCTATCTACCCTCATTCTCGTAAGCAGTCACGGTGGTCCATTGGGCTTTGCGGGCGAAGCATTGCTTGGCCCAGGGCTCTTAGATTCCTCCGTTGGCCGCAACTATGACTGATAGAAAAGACTTGATGATGGGAGGGCAAAGACTTTATGTAGTGGTATATCCTAACAGACACTAACAAATGTAGTACTGGCCTGCAGCTAGTCGTGGTCAGCCAATGATACTTGTACAGTATCCCTATGCATGTACCCCTCATCCATGACATCGTCGACGACGTTTCTTCACCACTCCTCATCAAATTTCACAATTTTACAATATCACCAGAACATCAAACTTACATCGAGCCATCACCATCATGACATCCTGTCCCAGGTTCAGTCGAAAGGTTGCCGAATGCGAGTCTGTCATCACATATGAGTTTAATTCCAAATCTCTCTGCGCACAAGCACTGAACGCAGCTGCCGACTCCATGGCTGTCTGTTACATAGACGGCTCTATCAAAAAAAATGCCCAAGAATGATCGTCTCGCAGTTTACGGCGACGCTGCAGCTGCAGCCTACTTGTGCAGCCTCTGGGTCAAGGGAGGACTCCCGAAACGTGAGTGATCCATTTCAGATGCATCTTACGTTGCATCTAGCTGGCATTCAAGATTGCTGGACCACGCTCCGCCGCGACCTCATCAGCAATGATAACTTGACTAGAGTTGGAAGGGAGCGCGGTCTTCACAAGTGCATTAACATGAACGGAGGAACTACTAGGGTCAGTTCCGGGATGGTCGCGACGGCTGTCGAAGCTATTCTCGGGGCCGTCGAAATGGACGGCGATCGCGATGCTCTCGCCCGAGTCATGAAGCATCTTGGTCTCACGGAGCATGCTCTCCTCGGATCGGTAAAGTTATTCCCCTTTGACAACCCAACTCCCTTGATCTGTATAGGTGCCTTCGCAGCCGCCATTGAATTCCCCCGTGACATCGACCTGTGATAACGGGATTTGTCTAGGCTGCCTTCTCGATTGGAGCCAGAAGCAGACCCTTTGTCAACGTGGTTGCCATTGGAACTCCCTCTTAACTCCGCTTGAGGAGTCTCTTAGACAAGCCCCGCGTATCATGGATTGGTAACATGGGGGAATCCTGAGGTGGCTGCAGAGTAATGTCAACATGTCTTCTAAGGTCTCTGCCCATGTTCACATCGGTGAACTCTTGAGTTTGAAGACGAATGGGCTCTGTACCTAACTGAATCAAATTGAACGTAGCCTCATAACTTAAACCATGGATGTTGGGGTTTTAACTCAACAACTTCAGGACTAAATCCGAGCCTTTCGAAGGAATGGCTAGTCAACTTCAGTCATGCTATGTAAGTCACGATGGCCCAGTGGCATTATACGAAACAGCTTATCACTCAAACAGGACCCGTGGTTGCTTCATACAAGATCGGTCGTCGTGGAAGAGGTAGTCTAGGGGGAATTTAGCGAGAGAAACATAGGCGGGGATCTCATGTCGCTCATTTAACCGCTCAACGGAGCAATTAAACACTAAAGAACGGAATTGTGCCGGAAATTCATTCATTCAAATTATACTAAAACCCACAATCAAATGCCTTGGGGTTTCGGCACTCTCTCAATTCCTTCATTGTAGTACCGTTAGCCTACCTACTTGCGAGGCTCGCTGCCTTCAGCGTGGACAACACTGGTAGCATCAAGCTTCTCAATATTGGCATGCATATCCACCGCCACAGCATCACCAAAGAGCTCTGCAATTTCCTCCAAGGTCTTGCCACCAGTCTCGGGCAGGAAGAAGAAGTACAAGACAGCAGCGGCAGTGTTACAGGCGATGAAGAGAGCATAGTACCTCCAGCTGACCTCTGCGAGCGCCAAGGGCGTAATCTGACTGAGAACAATAGCGACGACAGATTTGGTTGACACAGCAAAGGCCATGCCCTTTGATCGAAGGAATGTTGGGAACAGTTCTGATGGGACAACCCAGATCATCGAGTTGAAGAAGATGGCAAACGTCGCGGAGTAGATAAAGATGAAAGCGATACTTGCTCTTGCTCCAGCCATGTTACTCTCTCCAGCCTGGCCGTAGGTGGCACTCAAAGCCATACAGATAGAGATGGACACGGAAAGGGTGAGGGAGCCTGTCCACAATGTTCGAGCGCGAGGCCATCTGTCTGCGACGATGCCCAAGTAGATGATAGTTCCAATGACACCCATAAATCCGTAGATACCAGATACCAACAGCGACTGTCGGCCGGTGATACCAACAATGGCATAGAACGTGTTCTGAAAGTTCTGGATGACAGCAGCGCCTGAGAGCTGGGACTGGGAGACGATGAAAGCTGCCATGAGCGTGCGGTGGAGGTATCGCAAGGAGAAGAGCTCTTTGATCGCGAATGACCAGCTACTGGTCTCGGCAGACGCCTCGAGCTCAATCTGCTGTTGGATCTGGAGGAGTTCTTGTTCGATGAAGTTTTCGCTTTCGGTATCGTGGAGGTAGTTGAGAACGCGCCGGGCTTCTTCGTGACGTCCTTTCCTGGTGACTTATAGGATGTTAGCAGAGGATCTGAGGAGCTAATAAGGATGTAAACTTACGCCATCGAGGTGAGAAGGGTACAAAGAATACTGCAAAGATGAGGACGAAGGGAACAGGGATTTGCATAGCCAGAGGAATCCGCCATTGGGCATCACCAGCCGCAAAAGCACCTCCGTATCCCGCCCAATTTGCAATGCAGAATCCAATAGCAACCATCAAACCCTGGAGGCCAACAAGGAAACCACGCTGAGAGGGCTTGGCGACTTCAGCGATATAGACCGGGACAACAGCGAGGAATTGACCGCAGGCGATACCAGCAATCAGCCGGCCAGCGATCATCATGCCCACATTGACAGCACCGGCTTGCAGAGCGGCTCCGAGGATAGCGAGAAAGGAAGCAAAGGCAATGGTATACTTTCGACTGAAGCGATCGGCAAGGTATCCAACCGTTGGGGCTCCAATGGCTTGACCGGCATTGTAGCATGATACGATGGCACCAGCGAGAGATGTGCTGGCTTGGGAGGGTCCGTACATGTAGATGCGAAAGGTTTCATGACCAAAGGTCGTTGCGATGATTCCTGTGATGCTTAGTAAAAAGAAAGAACGCGTTCAGATTGTTTCAGAGCGCGATGCACATACCCGTGTCGAAGCCAGAGGTAAATCCTCCCATGGTGACGACCAAGGCGATGGAGATATTACGCCAAAGACCCATTGTGAAAAAGTTGGTCAGATAGTCTCGAGCTTCAGAATGAGAGATGATGCTTGAAAGGTAAAGGTTGACCCGAGTTGTGATACTCTCTCTTTTCCCAGTGGAGATATCAAGCCAATTTGAAGTCCCGATTCGCTACAAGATAGACCGAGTTTGCAGCATCACCTGAGCGGTTCGCCGAATCCCCGGACTTTCCCCCGCGTTTTCGTCGCTGGAACTGGCATTTGATGGCAGAGAATCCGGGGTAGCGAGTTTGAAGATCCGAGGTTAGAATCTGAGCAAGCTACGGATTATACCCGGGGAACGGATAATACCCGAAAAATCGGAATCTAAACGCACTTGGTAACATGAGCATCCGAAAATTGTTGCATCCGATTGGATATTCCAAGCCTCATTCCGTAGCTTGTTCACTACATCCACTGAAATTTCGATTAGGACCTTGGCAATACGAATATACAGCGTAAACTAGTCGTTCAGGTCGGTCGATTAACGACCGAAGTATCACTCTCGGGCTTACCTTCAGGTCTAGGACTTAAGCCACATTCTTTTCTTTCGCGTTATACTCCAAGTTCCGGCCACTGGAAGAGCCTCGAGCAACCAGGACAACATGATGGCACTCAAGTTATCCAAGCCAGTCTTTGAGCATCACTTCGATGGCATCGGAATTGGTCAATGCCAACCTCGAATCACATGGCAGTTCCTTGCGTCTGCACCTTCTGATGTACCGCTCAACTGGTCACAAAAGGCATATGATATCGAAGTCACGTCTCATCCTACACCAACTCGGCCGACTTTACAGACCACCACTTACCATGTCGACAGTAAACAGTCTGTTTTGGTAGCATGGCCCGCACCACCACTTCACTCTCGAGACATAGCTACTGTGAGGGTTCGTGCATACGGTGCATCTGACTCGGAGCCAACAGAGTGGTCGCCAGCTGCCACTGTCGAAACTGGCTTGCTCTCTCCTAATGACTGGACTGCGTCGTTTATAACGCCCGCTTCTCATCATGGTCCAGAGGCGCCGCTTCAGCCTATTCGCTTTCGAAAAGAGTTCTCCATCCCCGATCACCTCACCCAACAAGAGCCGCCTACCTGCCGGTTATACATAACAGCCCTGGGAGTCTACAACATCTACATCAATGGTCGTCTCGCGAGCGACGAGTGTATGGCTCCAGGCTGGACAAGTTATCAGCATCGCCTAGCATATCGAACCCTTGATGTTGGACAATATCTTAACTTTGGGTCAGGCGCTCAGAACATGATCGCTGCGGAGGTCGGTGAGGGCTGGTTTGCTGGCACTCTAGGCTTCAGAGGGGGCACTCGCTTTAACTATGGTGGTAAAGAGCTCTCGCTACTTGCCCAGCTTGAGATCAGGCATGATCCCAATGAACAACCATGGAGACTTGTGACAGACGACAGTTGGGAGTGCACGCCGAGTCCTATCACCAGCAGCGAGCTGTATAACGGCGAAACCTACGATCACCGTCTTGAGTGCGACAGCTGGAACAGAATTTCCCCAGGAGGGTCTAAAGTCGGTTGTGATTTTATCCCATATGCTACAAAGGTATTGGGCCGGAAGCCTACGAAGCGCTTGGTTGAAAGTGAGGTTCCTCCTGTTCGAGTCAAGCAAACAATTAGACCATCGCAGGTGTTCAAGTGTGTTACCGGAAAGACAATCATTGACTTCGGTCAGAACCTAGTAGGAAAACTCCGCATCAAGTCCCTGGAGCTTCCTGCTGGCGCGACTCTGACATTGAAGCATGCCGAGGTCATGGAGCATGGTCAGCTTGGGTCTCGGCCTCTCAACCACGCCAAGTGCACAGATACTATCATATCGTCAGGCAAACCCCTAAGAGACTGGACTCCAAAGTTTACGTTCCACGGATTCCGATACGTCCAGGTCGAGGTATTCGCCGTCAACTCACAGCCTCTTGACGCGGTACCTCTACTCCATCTTGGTATTGACGATGATAATGTCGAAGCTCTCGTCATGCATAGCGATATGAAGAGGCGCGGCCATTTCCGATGCTCTAATGGTTCAATCAATAAGCTTCATGAGAACGTTGTCTGGTCAATGAATGGCAACTTCCTTTCCATACCAACAGACTGCCCCCAGCGTGACGAAAGGCTTGGTTGGACCGGTGATATTCAGATCTTCGCGCCAACAGCGTCCTTTCTATATGACACCACTGGCTTTCTCTCAGGGTGGCTTGATGAACTCGCTGCTGAGCAGTTACTTGAGAATGACCGAGATGGAGTGCCGGGCTTAGTATGTCCAGATGTTCGTCTTCCTGGCTGGCCGAAACGAATGCCCCAGGCGCTTTGGCACGACGCTACTGTTCTTGTGCCATATTCTCTGTATATAGCCAGTAGTGATACGAAATTGCTTGAGAAGCAGTTTGAAAGCATGCGTGCTTGGCTGGAGCGGGGTGTTGATAGAGAGGGAGGTGATGGATTATGGAACCCAGATCGATGGCAGTTTGGTGACTGGCTCGACCCTACAGCGCCACCAGATCAGCCAGGATATTCGAGAACTGACTCAGTAATGGTGGCTGATGCATACCTAGTTCACGTTACATCAGTGTTCGCCAAAGTCTGTCGACTGTTGAACAAGCTCGATTTAGCTAACAAGTACGATGCTGAGGTTCTTCATCTGCGGTCGTTATTTCAGGATCGCTATATCACGCCTGCAGGCAACTTGATGGCGAATACTCAGACAGGTATCGCCCTCGCGGTATGCTTCTCACTGTACCGTGACTGTGGCAAGGAATCTCGAGAAGTCACCGCTGCAGCCAAAGCTTTGTCCAGATTAGTGCGAGCTGCTCAGTTCAAGATTGGAACAGGGTTCGCAGGTACTCCGCTCATCACCCACGCACTTACACAGACTGCGCAGCCCCAACTGGCATACAGAATGCTCTGTGAGAAGTCTTGCCCGAGCTGGATGTTCCCTGTCACGATGGGCGCAACAACAGTCTGGGAACGTTGGAATAGCATGTTACCCGATGGAAGCATCAACCCAGGGCGCATGACCAGCTTCAATCACTATGCTTTGGGTGCCGTGGCGGACTGGCTACATGGCACTGTTGGTGGTATCTCACCTATAGCTTCTTCGCCGGGCTGGAAGGTTTTCCGTGTGAAGCCGATCCCAGGAGGAAATCTGACTTGGGCTGAGACTAGCTTTGATGGACCCTACGGTAGAATCGAGTGCAAGTGGACGTGGGTGACAGACACTGGCTTGTTTAGGATGTCCCTGCTCGTGCCGCCTAACTCATCAGCTATTGTCACCTTACCTTCCGAGCTGAGTGATGACCCATCCCAGTCTTACAATGATGATCAGATTGAGGGCAGCTCGGTTGGCTCGGGATTGCACACTTTTGAGTGTCATTATACGGCTGGGGAATGGCCACCGAAGCCTATCTTGATGCCCAACATGCTCTGGCAGCCAGAGGATGAGGACTTGGCCTGCTGAAACAAGCGTAGCTAGTGAATAAGAGAATAATAGTTTACAAGTCTTCCGGGTGACCAATTGCATTAGTTTACCTGATGGTCCTTTTCTTTCCTCTGGGATTCCAAAAGTTGAACGGAGGGTTGATGATAACGATATGGGACGTAGCACGTGGTAGCTCGTGTTCTAGGTTCTTTCGGCTGGATTAAGCTCTCAGCCAGAGATCTCAGCGGCAAATAACACTTCTAGCTCGTATTCACAGGTTGCTCCGCTGATGGATGACGCGCTGTTTCGTATCACAGTTTCTTAGTTCGTGGCATCACGCACGGCATTCCTCATTCATTCCAACGTAAATCGCCATCCATCAACAACATGGAAAATTCAGGAGAACTTATCCCAAACGGCAGCGGAATGGTTGAGTACTGGCTGAAAAGAGCGCGCACGACAGGTCTTCCCTAAGACGATGATGAAGAAGACAAGCCAGCAAAGAAGCTCAAATTCAACCCAATAAATGTTTCTAGGCGTTACACATTCCCTTCGCCCATTGACGCCCCATTCCCGCCTACACACGGCCACCAGTTGCCTCACAGGGAAAAATGCGATTCAGAGGCAGCGTCGTCGCAAGCCTCTGACTATCTATAAATACGCTAATCACTGGGTCGACTTCAAGACTCTGAATCCTGATCACAACGATATGCCAGCGATGCTGAAACTGTTGTTTTTTTCTTTCCTTGCTTGTGCTTCAGAAAGATAAGAAAATTGTTCCGAATACCTTGAGAGTAAGTAAATATGCTTCCCACGTAGTCAATTACGTAGTCCATGGCTACATACTGACCTTGACTGTAGGTGAAATTGAGGCTCACCCGAGGTCTGATTACACTCTAGCAATGCTCGACGATGACTCATACTATATACCTGACGAATCTGAACCAGTGTGTACTAAAGGGTTGTTTGACTCAGTGGCCAAAATCGTTCAGGCGGCACAAAAATGTCATTCTCTTCAGTATGATGAAAATGGATGGAATAACCTTGTCTATACACCACTTCTCACCACAGCAGTGGAGAACTTCAAGCCGGAGGAGCGTCAGTTAATCGATGTTGCACCTTGGTAAGACCTCCGAAGCCACGATTCCACGGTCAACATTAATTTTCCCATCAATCGCAGCTCCACGGCTACAATTGATCCAGAAGGGCATCGACAGTCTATCCCTAAAGGGCAGGTCGATTTTGTCTTATACGTCGACCCTTTTCTCGACCTAGTTGCAAGAGACAAATGCCTAGAAAGACGCAACAGCCTCGGGTCAGTTAATCATACTCAGTTCGTACCGACTGCAGAGTGTCCGATTGCTGCGAGCATCAAGACGAAGAGTCGTTCAGGGAACAGTCAAGATGCTGAAGTTCAGTTGGCAGCCTGGCAAGCAGCGCAGTGGCTTAACATGGACGTTGATGTCGGTGACAATATTTCAGAGCTTGGTTTCCTGCCAGGTATCATCATCGATGGGCACGAGTGGAGGTTCCATGCAACAACGTATGGGTTACCAGGAAACAAAACCGTAAGATAAGGCCTTGTCTGCCAACATGAGAATGTGTACTAATGTTGAGAGAAGACGCTTTGGTCCAGCCATATACTTGGTTCCACAACCACTATCGTTGGTGTTTTTCGCATTCGGGCTGGCATTCGGGCGATAAATATATGAATCAGAGATACTTTTTGGCCGTGGTACAAGAAGTTTGAGCTTAGCCCAAAGATCGACGAACTATGATGCCCGGACTAAGGCTATAATAAGATCAAACATGAATGAGCTAGCATATGCGTGGAAATATACTGGTATTAAATATAGTTACAAAGAATTTCTAAACTAGCATGCTTGAACCCAACAGAAATCCTCCTGGCTTTTCTTCTAGCTGCGACAAGCTATCGAGTCCAGGGCGAACCAGTTGGATCTGTGAACCCAGTTGGGGTTACAAGTGTCATCGCTGGTGTTGATCCATTCACCCTGAGGACTGCTAGCAACAAACCAAATCCTCGTTGAGCCACTACTTGGCATGGTGAAAGTAAACTCCGCAGGAACCCACGTCTTTGTCTGGTCCTCGCCTGTAGGCCATCTATTTCCAACAACATTGGTGTTGCCTTGATAAACGCGAACGTATGGAACCAGGACATCCCCATTATCTTGTTCGATCTCATAGTACTCATTCCACCACCAGCTGTAGCTGCAGTAGAATCTGGTTCCAGGGCAGGCCTTGATGTCTTGATATAACCAGAGGCTCTTGTCGGCATCGAACTGGCCGGTTTGGAAATGATACGACGAACCGCCCTCACCGCCGGGGACGACTTTGGAGTAGACGGGGTCATAGCCACCAGGGTTTGGATGTTCTACCCATGGGGCCAATGTACCATCCTCGAAACCGCCGTTGCTAAATGGGTCATCGTAGGAGCAGGTCGGAGCAGGCTCAACACCGGTGTCGCAGAAGCATTGCGTCTCATAAGTCTTGACACCAGTTCGATCTGAGCTGAGCTGAGTGGCAGTGCCCCTATAGAGACTGCACTGTGCGTTTTTCTCGTATAAGAACGTCACACAGTTACTCTTCTTCTGACAAGCCGTGTAGCAATCGAGAACAGAGGAAGATGGGCCTTCGCCTAAGTATCTCCAATCGTTGGAAGTGCCCTGGATCCATCCCCTTGCACCACAGTTGGCGCCCTCGGGCGTTGGTCTCTCCATATTGTTGATGCAACCAGTCGCCGTTTCGAGAGCAGTAGTGGTAGTCTCCTCAGTGGTGGTGGTAGCCTCATCTGTTGTGGTGGTAGGACCTTCAGTGGTAGCAGTGGTGTCTTCAGAAGTGGCAGTTGTCTCTCCCGTAGTAGTGGCTTCTCCGGAAGTGGTAGCTTCTCCAGTAGTGGTAGTTGCATCCTCGGTAGTGGTGGTAGGAGCTTCACTGTTGGCGAGACCGGCTTCACTGGTTGCATCCCGGACAAAGATCTCTGGGTGGCCTCTTCGAACGAAGTTTCTCGGGACAATGGTGGGTTGAGCATCTTCAGTGGTGGTAGCCGCCTCGGATGTGGTAGCGGGTAGCTCCTCAGTGTTGGTATGAGTGAAGGGGTCATCATAGACAGGAGGCTCTGGCTCGGTACACTCAGTTGAGGTAGTGGCAGCTAGAGTGGTGCCGGCAGATGAGTCGCTCTCACTGGCGGTAGTGGTGATGTCAGTTGAGATGGTAGAACCAGTCGTGGTCGACTGCTCGACGCTGGTGGAACCAGATTCAGTCTTGCTGGTAGCGAGAGTAGTCTCGGATGAGGTCGCAGAAGCAGACTCTGTGGTGGATCCGCTCTCACTGATAGTGACACTGGTCTCAGTAGCAGTGCCAATGGTTGAGCTACTTTCACTAAGGGCGGCAGAGGTCTCGGTGGAGGTACTAGACAGAGACTCAGTCAAGCTCGACTCCTTGGTGTGAGTTGTAGCAGAACTCGTCGCGACACTGGTATCCGTAGTAGTCGTAACGACCGCTACGGAGCTCGAAGAGGGGCGGCATGGCCCAGCATGAACGAAAGGGCTGAGCGCCGCAGCAATGACAAACGAACGGACGAAATGGCGAGCCATCTCTGCGATAATCGTGATTTTTCGGCAATAAAAAAAAGCGACAATCTGAAGAAAACAGAGTTTGGGGGGGATCTGGGTTTAATCAATCCCTTCCCCTGACAAATCCTGCCTTATCGACCTCGTGTTGGGCTTGGATGTCATTATTTAGTGCAGATCCTTTTGAAGCTATTGATAGCTAGTCTTCCCAAACAATGTCAAGCGCCTCGTTAGTTGAGTGTTTTTAGAAAAGTTTTATCGATAGTGCCAGCGCGATTCGAGCTGAGGCCGTTAGTTTTACAGGGGTTGTTAGGGGCGGCGCCACGATTATTGGCTCTTGGGGCTCAGCTTTTGGCGAGGGAAATTAGTGGCGTTGTCGCTAGCGAGTTAACCAACAAACATCGTAATCCTACCTACCCTGTATTGACATTTTGCATTTGGGGCATGTGTTGATCATTAAAGATTGCAAAGCATCAACTGTAGCATTGACTCAGAAGTGCTTAGTTAAATGTTGAACTCCTAATAATGAGACCGAATATTAAATCGCGTTAGTTGTTTAATTGCAGCTTATTACAGACAATATGTCGATACTGTTCTCTGCGTAGCATGCAAAAAAAAAAAAAAAAGGTGGTGTTCTGCTGCACGATTCATGAACTTATCACAATGCATGGACGCTTTGTCACGCAACATTAAGTGGCCGTTATAGAATGAGGTTGTAGCAAAGCCGCCTTATTTCCAAGCGATCGATTACTCGCTGCAACTCTAAGCATCGCATTTACATTCCGCATTCGACCCAGTCAATCGATCATCGTGTCTAGTTATGAAATTGATCAATTTATTACGTACTTGAGCCTTCTTCTTTGACTTGCACACCGTGTTTCCAATGCTGCCTTTGGACAATTAATCTATATCCAATACGAGGCATCTAAATATTGAGGGCTAGCCAATCACACGATTTATATCTACACATGAGCAGTCTGCTCGGTAATACGCATGCTTCTGGCCTCAACTATCCCCAATCTAAGAAAGTCCATATGCAAACCGTAGAACAGAACCCTTCGGAGGAACTTTGACCAAAGAGCCGAATTCTTACAGATCTTCAACGGCGGAGACTTCCGACACGACATATCGACCCTTCAAAGATACGGTGAGCATCAGATCATGAACTTCACTCATCTTCACGTCCTTCCTCTTTCAAACTATGCAAAGTCCGTCTAGCACCTCTCGAAACTTGATTTACGCGCTCTCCAATCAAAAGTACCTTCCAAAAGTGATCTACCTCAGCTCTAGATCAGGGCATCTATTCGCAAAGATCTACAAGCTGAACTAGCAAAGCATAGCGGGAGAATATCCCGCATCATTCGAGAAGGCCTTCGTGTTAGACCTAGCAGGATCGACAAGAAAAGATAAGACGGAGATAGATGCTATGTTTGGAAGGTAGGGGATGGAATAGGATGCAACAGGTATTGGCATAAGCGATGCCATAGGTGCATCTGCCAACTGGGTGACAGACTTGGCCGCAGAGGTGTATCGTATGCAGGTTGATGTGTGCGTTATCGCAGGGCTGCTATTGCGTGGTGGTGGCTACAAAAGTTCTATACGGTTTCCAGTTTCAGAATATTGGGCCATTGTGATTGATGGCGCATGACCGAATTATAGCAGTGAACCCCGCCCAGAGTAGTAGTGCAGATGCGCTTTGATGCTTGGCGATTCCTCGGGCTAAATAACTCCGGTTGGTCTAAACAATGCTGACGCGATGATCCTTCGGCATTAATCGTAGATCTTGAGAAGCTTAGTCCGATCAAAGACACGCTGTAGATCAGCTCTTCGATGACTCTCATCAGCTTTATAATTACATTCATCTTGAAGCTCTTTTTCGTCCAGTGTTCGCCCTTCGTCCTATTTATCCGTCATATCCACAGTGTTATTGGCGATAGAGTTATCGACTTTCCTCATCGGGATACTGACCCCTGCTGCCAAGGGCCTTATATGCCGATCACTTTCACGGGAGAATGATAAGGTTAATGCTTCTTCTAAATGCCGAACTAGACTACGGAACAACGGAGCTTAGTACCAGAAAGGCAGGTCCACCTATTCACAAACTCCGAAGATACTACCAAGCAAGCTTATCGCGGGATAGTAACCAGAGAGGCAGGTAAGAAACCACAACAACATCCATAGCTATGTTGATTCTCGAATATAAAAGGATGACGATGGACTATTCAAACTAGTCTATCATCAACCACTCTTCACTCTTCAACTCTCATCTCTCGGATATCTATCTCTTCACCATGGTCAAGTTCGCTTCCGTCGTTGCACTTGTTGCTCCCCTGGCTGCTGCCGCTCCTCAGGAGATCCCCAACATCGTTGGTGGCACTTCTGCCAGCGCTGGCGACTTTCCTTTCATCGTGAGCATCAGCCGCAACGGTGGCCCTTGGTGCGGAGGTTCTCTCCTCAACGCCAACACCGTCTTGACTGCTGCCCACTGCGTTTCCGGATACGCTCAGAGCGGTTTCCAGATTCGCGCTGGCAGTCTTGTAAGTCATCGAGTCTTTGAGGGATAGAATTCAACCCACTAACCTCTCTAACAGTCTCGCACTTCTGGTGGTGTTACCTCGTCGCTCTCTTCCGTCCGAGTTCACCCTAGCTACAGCGGCAACAACAACGATCTTGCCATTCTCAAGCTCTCTACTTCCATCCCCGCCAGTGGAACCATCGGCTATGCTCGCCTTGCTGCTTCCGGCTCTGACCCCGTCGCTGGATCTTCCGCCACTGTTGCTGGCTGGTAAGTCGTTCTTTGATATCTGAGAAACCATATGCTAACTCCCAATCAGGGGCGCTACCTCCGAGGGCGGCAGCTCTACTCCCGTCAACCTTCTCAAGGTTACTGTCCCTATTGTCTCTCGTGCTACCTGCCGACAGCAGTACGGCACTTCCGCCATCACCAACCAGATGTTCTGTGCTGGTGTTTCTTCCGGCGGCAAGGACTCTTGCCAGGGTGACAGCGGCGGTCCCATCGTCGACAGCTCCAAGACTCTCATCGGTGCTGTCTCTTGGGGTAACGGATGTGCCCGACCCAACTACTCTGGTGTCTATGCCAGCGTTGGTGCTCTCCGATCTTTCATTGACACCTACGCTTAAACGCCTTGCTGGAAGCGCTGAGATGTTCCTTGGATATTCTCTAGCTTGAGTCTTGGATGCGAATCCTGTTTTAGAAATAGGTTTCAACGAGTTAAGAAGATATGAGTTGGTTTCAGTTGGATCTTAGTCCTGGTTGCTCGTAATACAGCAATCTAGATAGCCCAAATTGAATATTAAATTTGATGGAAATATTGATTTCGATAAACACAATGTGAAATGTCGAGGCAGGACGAAAAGTAAATCAAAACTTTTATAATCCAAGACCTACCTACCTTGATGTTAGTCTGCGAGTCGTGTGTAGTGACCACAAATGATGGATTGGCATTAAAACTTTCTTTCTGTGAAGTATCATGAATGTGAAAATCAGTTACGTATTCTCTATATAGGTAACCAGCAGTTCTGCTTTCTGGCTAGCAATCAGCCAAGTATGTGCGTGTGAAGGGTTGTTACATTAGAACATTATTGGCGTTGAATATTCAAAGAATGAGGTAAAGTAATTAAAGTTAATGTTGTAAAAGAAAAGGAAAAGCAAATTGTGCATACAGTAAAGACTTCAGGCCGACTGCTCAATAGACATATGTGAATCGAAAACCAACAGGATACAATTTATAGATAAGTATGACTACAATCATCAGTCTGCCAAACAAATACTGTTTTATGAAAGAACCGAATAGCAAATAAACTACAGTTCCTCAGTAGGAGCATCCTTTACAATAACACCTTTGACTTCCTTCAGCTTCTCAATAGCCTCCAAAGTCATCGGTCTGCCATCAGGGCACGTCAGCTCTGGTCAAGAGAACATGAGTGCTATACTTACGGAGGATAGGAAGTAGGAGGAATTGTTCGAGTCTGCCTCCAGAAGTCGACACCAGTGTCCTTTTTGACGATGCTGGTATGGTGATTAGCTCGGGAGTCTATCCATGATGATGCATTACTGACTCGAGAACGGTTTCGTTTCTCTGCTGATAATCCTCCAACTTCTCGAAGTCATAGATAATAGCCTACAGGATTTTAAATTAACAAATGCTTCTTCTAAGCAAATTATTCCTTCTTTACCTTTCGGTCCGCCATGGCTGCTAAAACTGCTGGGAGGTTCAAAAGCGCAGCACAAGCAGCAAGAGTAATTGGCACGACGTGATATGTTGACAAAAGCATCAGTATCGATAAGTTCCACTCAGAAACGTGCAGAAGCAAGACGTGGTATATCGGCCAGTTAAATAACCTTAAGCATTCGACTATCTTCGGAGATTCTCGAATTGGGAAGGTGATGATGCGTTCATGACAGGGATTACACGCCAACAAAAGATCCTAATGGACTTAAGCTTGGCTGCGGGGAAAGCCTATCAACGATAAGCGTGAGCCACCCACTTGATAGATAAGTCGCGCACTATGAGCTTAGCTCTAGGGGAGGGGATTGGACAATAATGGGAGCTGGTGATTGAGGTGATGGATGGGAGTGACCTGCGTTAGTGGTCGGCTGATGCACCCGGATGAACGCCTGGGAGGCATCGTTTGGTGCGGTGATCGACAGATGGTAGCATGGTCGAATGGAAGCCTAAACGCATGTGAAAATGCCGAATCTCATGACTAGGCAGCATCCTGAATTGGTCTCGCCCGTTCAAGGTGCCAGCCAGCCAGCCAGCTTGCAACACCAACACCTGGTAGTCAGTCTAGGACCAGATCGATAAGATTAGATAAGAAACTCAACGTTAGATAGGAGAAGGACTCACCTCATAGAACGGGTTTTTTTGGAGATCTCGTATGTAGTCTAGAAAGACGTACAATACAAAGCACTATCTATATTTATTTGTCTTGGAAACGCTTGTATACCGGTACATTTATGTTATCTCAGTCTTCAACCCCGTAGTGATATCATATATGCC